TGTATACACACACACACACACACACACACACACACACACACACATATATATATGTGTGTGTGTGTGTGTATATATATATTTATACTTTTTTATTGCATTTTTGGTAGCATCATTAACCTCTTAACCTCTCTCCCTGTCAGCATTAATTAATTATTATCATAATGAATTAAATTCTTGATTAATTTATTGATTGATTGATTGATTGACCAACCGTCAATCAATCAATCAATCAATCAATCAATCAATCAATCAATCAATCAATCAATTAATGAAACAATCAAACAATCAATCATTTTATTTTATTTGTTTGTCAAGCCTGAAATGATTAATTCCCTTGGCTTATGAATAATTTTGGGTTTGGCTTTATATATATTTTTGTTTGTTGTTGTTGTTGTGTAAATAAAGCAATACAAATAGACGCTCTTTCTCATACTTCAGCCTCTATATCAAAGTTCCTCAAAGCAAAGAAGGTCAAGGTGCTCCTGGATTGGCCAACCAAGTCACCAGACATAAACATTATTGAGCATATCTGGGGTAAGATTGAGGCATTGAAGATGAATTCACCTTCTTTTCACCTTCTTCTTTCCTAGACTTAACAGACAAGTCTTAGCAAAGTCAGACCTTACTGCCCTAAATAATGAAAATCGAAGCATGATCATATTTTAGTTTGGTCAAATAAGCATAATCTAGAGGCCTTTGCCTTTTATATAAGCCACTTCTGATACCAAATGACCAACTAGAAGTCAACTTATTATTTGTTGTTCTTAAAATCTGGATAGGCTACAAGACTTGTCAGGTAGTGTAAGTAATAAAATTATATTTTTTCATTTTGTACTGCTGTAAAATGTTTTAACAGGTTTCGTCTCCATATTGTGTTCTGCATGCCTCTGCTGGATGCCGTAAATCGAGGCACAGCAATAAATCCAAGGACATCTGAATGCTCTATTGATTAGTGATGTCTGCCACTCAATGATAATGACGTTTGCTGGATAAAGCGGCGGCGAGCCAATTCTGCTGTTGAATAACATGCATTCCTATGAAATGTAATCGGTTAAAACATTTGACAGAATTTGTTGGCTTACTGGCATTTTATTGGCTCATGGATCTCTAGAGGGCGGGGCTTAGTGTCTTTAAGCTCGTCTTATTCCGCATGCACTGAAAAATCACTGTGAATTCAGATGGTTAATGCTGATTTTGATGTTAAGTTTTGGTCACATCAGCACTTCCACTTCCAGAATGACAATTTCTTGATAATTTATGCACCCCCTTGTGAGCTAATATTAAGTCGAAAAAAGAAATTAAGGTTTCTGAGGAAAACATGCTGGAGTTTCCAAAATACAGTTTCAGAGCAAACATATTCAAATACAAATCATAGACACCATTAAGTTGTTTTGTGGTGTTTATTTGTTGTTGAGCAAAGAACTGCACAAAAATAATCCTTTATGTTTAGATATATTTATTTCTCTGTAAATATCATTACTGTGAAAAAGAACAAAAGTTGTTGTCCTCATACTGGCCCCTAGCGTTCATTTTACCTAGAAACTACATTCAAATGTATGTTTAAGTACGTTTTTGTGATTGATGAGTCTGCGTTGACTCATGCTGTGTTCACACCAGACGCGGAACGTGCGTAATTGCGCTATTCGTGCGTAAATAGCCGCGTGAACATTTGAGTTTACTCGCTTCATTCGCGCGTCAAACCCCGCTTCATTCGCGTGTCAAATTCACTTCAGAACAGACGCAGATTCGCGTGATGGGCAGTGCTTCTGTCTGCCCGAAGACTTTAGCTTCATAGCTAAAGGGCTAACATGGATTTTATGAAGAAAATAACAGTGTTTATGTGCTTTATGAAGGATGATAAACATCGTCGATACGTTTAGGGTCGTGTCTGAGTCCACTACATCCTTTCAGAGGTGCATCCAGCTCTGTGAGCTCATAAACTCCTGCAGAAACTTAACCTGGATGACGAAGGCTTTCAGCGGTGCTTCTGACCGAGCCAAGCTAAGTTTGATGAACTGTTGTTGGTGAAGGCTGGAGGATTTCCCTTGGAACACCGATAACAGGTTCTACGTCACAATCATGCCCCCACAAGAGCAAGCTTCTGATTGGTTAACGCGACGCGAATGTACGCGGAAGTTCAGATTTTCGAAATCGAGAGATTCGCGCAAAACGCTCGTTAAGCACGTCAAACGCGCAATTTGCGTCATTCGCGCCATGTCATTTGTGCGTATCGCGCCGCAGGATGTCTATTCGCGCGTTTGCATTGATTTAACATGTAAATCACTCGCGCTTGATGCGCGTGCCGCGTCTGGTGTGAACGCAGCATCAAAGGGTTAAAGGCTTTGTTTTTGTTTTGTGAATTGTAAAAAAACATTGCTATTGGGTACGTTTCGTTGCACATTTCAGATGACAAATCCACTAGAGGGCGCTAACTACATTTTTGCGAATCTGAAATAAGTTACTTAGGGAACTTTTTATCTATCATTAGTGTGAAAAGGAACAAAAGTAGTTGTCCTCACACTGCCCCCTAGTGTTCATTTTACCTACAAACTGCAGTTGAACGTAGGTTTTTGGACGTTTTTGTGATTTTTCACAAAAAACATCGGCTGAAGCAAGTATTTACAATGAGCCTGTCTTGACTCAGGGTTAAATGCTTGGTTTTGGAGCTTCAGATCAGTTCAACTTGTACTTTCTGTGGGTCTGAATGAACATCTGTTCTGAGAGAGAAAGAGAGAGTCTGTCGAGAAGACAAATGACAGGATATTATGTGGTCGGTCGCGTGTTCAATCACAGACGTGCAGCCAGAGAAATGATAAAGGGGAACATCAGTATCTCCCTCTGTATGTGCTTGGAGCGATTCGCTTGTTTGTTCGGGATTGTTTTGCCCACAGAACCCCAACAGATGGGTTTGTTTGCATCACGTCCAGTCGTGAAATACGGTGCCAGTTGAGCAAACTGTTCAGGACAAACTCAGTGGCGTTCACACACTTTAAATCCAACACTTTCAGTAGTTCAGCTCGGGTTTTAGCATTTAACAAGTGACAAAAGTGGTTCTACAGTAGTTTTGGTTAAAGAGCAGGTCATATGGGTTTTGGAAAATATCTTATTTGCATATCATTACATTTACATTTAGTCATTTAGCAGACGCTTTTATCCAAAGCGACTTACAAATGAGGACAAGGAAGCAATTTTCACAACTAAGAGCAACAATGAATAAGTGCTATAGGCAAGTTTCAGGTCTGTAAAGTCTAAGAAGGGAAGTATTAGTAGTATTAGTATTTTTTTTTTTTTTTGGGTACAGTTAGTGTGATATTCAGAGAGGCAATTGCAGATTAGGAAGTGAAGTGGAGACTAAATAGTTGAGTTTTTAGTCGTTTCTTGAAAGTAGTGAGTGACTGCTGTTCTGATGCAGTTAGGGAGTTCATTCCACCAACTGGGCAGATTGAGCGTGAGAGTTCGCGTAAGTGATTTCTTCCCTCTTTGGGATGGAACCACGAGGCGACGTTCATTCACAGAACGCAAGTTTCTGGAGGGCACATACATCTGCAGAAGTGAGAGCAGATAAGAAGGGGCAAGGCCAGAGGTCACTTTGTAGGCAAACATCAGAGCTTTGAATTTGATGCGAGCAGCAACTGGCAGCCAGTGCAAACGGACTAGCAGCGGAGTGACATGTGCTCGTTTAGGTTCATTGAAGACCACTCGTGCTGCTGCATTCTGGAGCAGTTGAAGAGGCTTGATAGAGTTAGCTGGAAGCCCAGCTAGTAGAGAGTTGCAGTAATCCAGTTTGGAGAGAACAAGAGCTTGAACAAGGAGTTGAGCTGCATGTTCAGATAACAAGGGTCGGATCTTTCTGATGTTATAGAGTGCGAATCTGCACGATCGAGCAGTTCTAGAAATGTGGTCAGAGAAGTATCAAGATGTTGATATCTATCAGAGTTAATATTCTGCAAGGTTGTTAATCAATAAAAACACACAATGACTGAAGATATTGTCTCTCTGAATCACATTATAGCAGGGGTCACCAATCTCGGTCCTGGAGGGCCGGAGTCCCTGCAGGATTTAGCTCCAACTTGCTTCAACACATCTGCCTGGATGTTTCAAGTATACCTAATAAGACCTTGATTAGGTTGTTCAGGTGTGTTTGATTAGGGTTGGAGCTAAAATCAGCAGGACACCAGCCCTCCAGGATTAAGTTTGGTAGCCCCTGCTTTAAAGAGTCATCTTCATCAAAGAGTCATCTTATTTGCATGATCCCTGTCTTCCTGCGACATATGAAGTCTCTGAAACCAATGAAAACAGACTTGGCCAGCTATCCAATCAGAGCAGAGCTGGCTTATGGAAGGGGGAGGGGCTAACAGACCTGAAGCCCTGATTTGATTCAAATGAATTCATCACAGGATGATTCTAATATAAAAAGCCTATTCAGAGAAAATCTGACCGTAGATGCATTTAAGCCTATTGTAGAAGACTCAAGCATTATATTAGGTTGTTTTGTGGTGTTTATTTGGTGAAATATAAAATAACCCTTTATTTGTAGATATATATATCCCTGTAAATATCATCAGTGTGAAAAGGAGCAAAAGTTGTTGTCCTCATACTGCCCCCTAGTGTTTATTTTACCTAAAAATTGCAGTCAAATGTATGCTTAAGTATGTTTTATGAATCGTATTGAATTAATTGCTAAATGATTCTAATATAAAAAGCCTTTTCAAAGAAAATTACAATGTTTTCTGACTGTATAAGCATTTAAACATATTGTAAGAGACTCAAACATAGTATTAGGACACTTTGAATGTATTTGTTTTAACCAGTATTAACAAATACTACTCATTGTTAATGTTAAAGTGAACTAACGGGACCTTGGTAACTTTATAAAGTGTTACTGATGCTTTGTGTTTAGCTGAATGACATTTATAGGATCTTGTGTTGATTTTAAACTCTGTTTTCTCTCTCTCTCTGTTTTTTCCACATCTCTTGTCTCGTCGTCTTTGGCTCAAAAGGATCTTCCACTGCCTCGTAAAAACAGCAGGTGAGTCTGTTTTCAGTGATAATTCAATTCATCTTTATTTCTCTAGCGCTTTTACAATGTAGATTGTGTCAAAGAAGCTTCACATAGAAGATCATAGTAAACTGAAACTCTAGCTCTACAAGGCTCAAACCAAGCAAGCCAGTGGCGACAGCGGAGGAACAAACTTTACCAGTTGACAAAAGTGAAGGAAAAAAACCTATAGATAAACCAGGCTCGAGCATATGAACATTGATCCTGTTCTAGGCTAGTTTTTAACAGCAGACGTCGCTCTAGGCTAGTTTTTAACAGCAGACAGCGCTCTAGGCTAGTTTTTAACAGCAAACAGCGCTGTAGACTAGTTTTTAACAACAGACAGCGCTCTAGGCTAGTTTTTAACAGCAGACAGCACTCTAGGCTAGCTATTTTTTATTAGCAGACTCATTCTAGGCTAGTTTCTAACAGCAAATGGCACTCTAGGCAAGTTTTTAACAGCAGACAGCACTCTATGCTAGTTTTTAACAGCAAACAGCGCTGTAGACTAGTTTTTAACAGTAGACAGCGCTCTAGGCTAGTTTTTAACAGCAGACAGCGCTCTAGGCTAGTTTTTAAACAGCATATGGCGCTCTAGGCTATTTTTGAAACTATAGTCAGCGCTCTTGGTTAGTTTTAAACAGCAGACAGCGCTCTAGGGTAGTTTTTAACAGCAGACAGCGCTCTAGGCTAGCTATTTTTTAATAGCAGACTCATTCTAGGCTAGTTTCTAACAGCAAATGACACTCTAGGCTAGTTTTTAACAGCAGACAGCACTCTAGGCTAGTTTTTAAACAGCATATGGCGCTCTAGGCTATTTTTTAAACAATAGTCAGCGCTCTTGGTTAGTTTTAAACAGCAGACAGCGCTCTAGGCTAGTTTTTAAACAGCATATGGCGCTCTAGGCTATTTTTTAAACAATAGTCAGCGCTCTTGGTTAGTTTTAAACAGCAGACAGCGCTCTAGGCTAGTTTTTAACAGCAGACAGCACTCTAGGCTAGCTATTTTTTATTAGCAGACTCATTCTAGGCTAGTTTCTAACAGCAAATGGCACTCTAGGCAAGTTTTTAACAGCAGACAGTGCTCTATGCTAGTTTTTAACAGCAAACAGCGCTGTAGACTAGTTTTTAACAGTAGACAGCGCTCTAGGCTAGTTTTTAACAGCAGACAGCGCTCTAGGCTAGTTTTTAAACAGCATATGGCGCTCTAGGCTATTTTTGAAACTATAGTCAGCGCTCTTGGTTAGTTTTAAACAGCAGACAGCGCTCTAGGGTAGTTTTTAACAGCAGACAGCGCTCTAGGCTAGCTATTTTTTATTAGCAGACTCATTCTAGGCTAGTTTCTAACAGCAAATGACACTCTAGGCTAGTTTTTAACAGCAGACAGCACTCTAGGCTAGTTTTTAAACAGCATATGGCGCTCTAGGCTATTTTTTAAACAATAGTCAGCGCTCTTGGTTAGTTTTAAACAGCAGACAGCGCTCTAGGCTAGTTTTTAAACAGCATATGGCGCTCTAGGCTATTTTTTAAACAATAGTCAGCGCTCTTGGTTAGTTTTAAACAGCAGACAGCGCTCTAGGCTAGTTTTTAACAGCAGACAGCACTCTAGGCTAGTTTTTAACAGCAGACAGCGCTCTAGCAGACTCATTCTAGGCTAGTTTCTAACAGCAAATGGCACTCTAGGCTAGTGTATAACAGCAGATGACACTCTAGGCTAGTTTTTAACAGCAAACGGTACTCAATGCTAATTTTTAGTAATAAACGGCGCTTTAGGCTAGTGTTTAACAGCAGACAGTGATTTAGGCTAGCTTTTAACAGCAAACGCCATTCTAGGCTAGTTTTTAAGAACAAATGGCGCTCTAGGCTAGAGGGCGTTCTAGGCTAGTTTTTAAACAGCAAACGTCATTCTAGGCTAGTTTTTACAGCAGACAGCTCTCTAGGCTAGCTTTTTTATTAGCAGACGCGTTTTAGGCCAGTTTCTAACAGCAAATGGAACTTTCGGCTAGTTTTAACCAGCAAATAGTGCTCTAGGCTAGCTTTTAAACAGCAGACAGTGATTTAGGCTAGCTTTTAACAATAGACGGTGTTCTAGGCTAATATGTAACAGCAATTGGCGCTCAAGGTCTGTCAGCAGACAGCTCTATGCTAATTTTTTACAGCAGATGACACTCTAGGCTAGTTTTAACAGCAGAAGGCGCTCTATGCTAATTTTTTTTACAGCAGATGACACTCTAGGCTAGTTTTAACAGCAGATGGCGCTCTATGCTAATTTTTTTACAGCAGACGACACTAGGCTAGTTTTGAACAGCAAATGCCGCTCTATGCTAGTTTTTAATAAATAGTACTTTATGCTATTTTATAGCAGTAGACGACACTCTAGGCTAGTTTTAACACCAGGAGGCGCTCTATGCTCATTTTTTACAGCAGATGACACTAGGCTAGTTTTAACAGCAGATGGCGCTCTATGCTAACTTTTTACAGCAGACGACACTAGGCTAGTTTTGAACAGCAGATGCCGCTCTATGCTAGTGTTTAATAAATAGTGCTCTATGCTATTTTATAGCAGTAGACGGCACTTTAGGCTAGTTTTAACAGCAGATGGCGCTCTATGCAAATTTTTTACAGCAGACGACACTAGGCTAGTTTTGAACAGCAAATGCCGCTCTATGCTAGTTTTTAATAAATAGTGCTTTATGCTATTTTATAGCAGTAGACGACACTCTAGCCTAGTTTTAACAGCAGAAGGCGCTCTATGCAAATTTTTTTACAGCAGATGACACTCTAGGCTAGTTTTAACAGCAGAAGGCGCTCTATGCTAATTTTTTTTACAGCAGACGACACTAGGCTAGTTTTGAACTTCAAATGCCGCTCTATGCTAGTTTTTAATAAATAGTGCTTTATGCTATTTTATAGCAGTAGACGACACTCTAGGCTAGTTTTAACACCAGAAGGCGCTCTATGCTAATTTTTTACAGCAGATGACACTAGGCTAGTTTTAACAGCAGATGGCGCTCTATGCTAATATTTTACAGCAGACGACACTAGGCTAGTTTTGAACAGCAGATGCCGCTCTATGCTAGTTTTTAATAAATGGTGCTCTGTGCTATTTTATAGCAGTAGACGACACTCTAGGCTAGTTTTAACAGCAGAAGGCGCTCTATGCTAATTTTTTTTACAGCAGACGACACTAGGCTAGTTTTGAACAGCAGATGCCGCTCTATGCTAGTTTTTAATAAAGGATGCTCTATGCAATTTTATAGCAGCAGAGGACACTCTAGGCTACTTTTTGAACAGCAGACAGCGTTCTAGGCTAGTTTTTAACAACAGACCTCGCTCTAGGCGAGTGTTTTACCGCAGACGGCGCTCTAGGCTAGTTTTATACAGCAAACGGCACTCTAGGCTACTTTTTACAGCAGATGGTGCTCTAGGCTAGATTTTAACAAACTGTGTTCTAGGCTATTTTATACCAGCAGATGGTGCTTTAGGCTTGTTTTTGACAGCAGATGGTGCTCTAGGCTAAATTACATTATACACTACATTATACAATAAATAATAACATAAATAATGAACTAAAATGTCACATACATACTCAAAATCATATAAATGAACAAAGAACCTTTACATTTACTGTTCCTCAAAGATGCAACAATCATCAAAAGCCTCTAAAACGTCTCAGTGTTTATGCCGAACCTGAATTAAAACATTAAAATAGGTGTCCATCATCACCTCTCAAGATTTTGATTAAATATTTAAAGGGTTCGTTTTGTCTGCAACTTTTCTTTCCATCTCTCTCTCCAGCCAATGTTGCGATTATTTCGATTAGCAGAAGAGATACAATTGAGCAAGAAAACTAAAGAGAAATATTTAATGTTGAAAGAGTGTTTGCAGCGATGATCAAATCAGGGCTGTAATTGATTTCCCATGAACTCTTTCAACATTTTAAAAGATTATTGTGTCACAGAAGAGCTTTGTGTTGTGTTAATTACAGAAAAATCACTTTGTTTTGCAACCCTTTCATTATATTCTTTAAACAAATAATTACACATTTTTTTCATCTGAGTTATAATTTAATTAAAAATAGATGTCTGAAAATTAACTCTCTTTCGATCCATTTCCGTAAAACATTTCTTTGTTCATTTATTTTCCCCTTGCTTCTCGGTTATATCATCCTCCATGACCTCTGGGAAAAATACATATTGCTCTTAAAATTAGAAACACACACACATGTCCTGAACGGATGTACCGCACCTGCTCCCCCTCTTTTAATGCTCGTCTTGGTATCACCCATCCGCTACCCTCGAGATTTTACCCACAATTCCCCATGCAGTCTGTTTTCCAGTGCGCAGACGGTCTGGTATCCTCCAGCTGATGGTGTTTGTGCCGCTCGCAGGTTGTTTTTAATATATCGTTCTTATTTTTGAGCCTTGTGTCTTCTGATCATGCAGGCCGGTGGGTTTCGGCGCACTAAAAGGTGAAAGGATTTTTAAATCTGATTTTTAACACACCTGAAAGTGAGGTCATTGGTTACCTGCAGATGGAGATTATTAAGATGGTCATTATTAGCGCCATTTAACACGGTAGTCAATGCTGCGTTGGCGCCATTCATGTTCTGTTCGTATTGTGTGTTTCAGCTACATATTGTGCTGTTTGATTCAAAATTAGCAGGGTTTTAGGTAATTTTGTGAGTCTAATGTTGTTAGTTTCATAGTCTTCCTGATGGTGTAATTGATTATTAAATTATTACTTGTTGATTATTTTAATTAAGGGTTTCACGATTTCGATTTTAAATCAAAATTGATTAAAAAAATTTACGCTCAATTTCGATTATCGAATCAAAAAATAGAAACGTCGATGCTGCCACGCCTCCATGTCACGTCAGCTTGGCTTGCCAAGCGGGAAAAAAACAGGCTTGTTGAAGTGCTTGTTAAACGGCAGACGCAGGAGACCCGTCGTCAGAGCGTAAACCCTCTCCTCTTTCAGTGAAGTCGCCGGTGTGGAAAAATTTTGGATTTCCAGTGAGTTATGTTGACAACGTTCGTGTTGTCGACAAAAAAACCCCACAGTTTTGCAAGCTCTGCTATGTACGTATTAGGGTTCGTCCAATAGACAACACCAGCATTGCGATCCTCTGCCCGCCCCCATTGCAAATCCGCTCGTGAAAAGTACACACTCAGGCCCTGTTTACACTTGTATGTCTTTGTTTTTAAATGGCATTTTAGTACGACAACGATTTGACATCCACAGTGGCGTATAGCATTTCTGAGCAGCCCTCTTTCCTCTCTACCTCTGAAAACGCACATCACGTGACCACACACACACACAGAGACACAGACACACACACAGACATGCGCTCGGGACTGCAGGTCCAGGTAGTCAAACAAAAAAAGATCCTGTCAAACAAAAGATCCGAACCCAACTCGATTCGTGTATTCGACTCTGAGTCAAACATTTTGCTAAACAATCAATAGTTTTAAACATTCTGCACTTTCAGGGCCCTATCATACACCCGGTGACATGTGGCGTAAGGTGCGACGCAATTGTTGTTTGCTAGTTTCAGCTTGGCGCAAGAGTCGTTTTGATGTTTTGCAGCACGCTGTTTAAATAGCAAAGGCATTTGCACTCATATGTGCGCTCATAGGCGTTCTGGTCTAAAAAGGAAGGTGTTTTGAGGCGCATTGCTGGCGCGTTGCTATTTTGAGAAACTATAATAGATTTTTCAATAGACCAAAACAAAGCCGGTCTATTGTCCAGCGCAGTTAGTTGTGCGCCTCGCTTACACACTGCTTAATACACACAAGATGTAGAGCAATACGCAAATATCTTTACAAATGAAAAAGAATTAAAATAATAAGTATATATATATATATAAATGTGTATATATATATATATATATATATATATATATATATATATATATATATATATATATATATATGATATAAATATATATATGATATAAATATAAAGGATTAAATATGACAAAACATATTATTTTCTAGCCTACATAAATATAAAAACCACCGCCTTCATGCCTTCTTCATCTCGGGAGGCTTTTTCAGTTTATTCATGACAATTTGCATTTGTATAATGTTATTATTATTAGCAGTATTATTTATTATATCCATATTTATATTTGTTTTATTAAAAACAAGCTTAGATTTGTCCACCTGTCAGGTTTTAGACCATATGGGGAACAGCATGTGTTTTAGGATATAACTCAGGTTTTTGAACACACTTTGTTATTATTGGTCATTTATTCGTTTTCTGGAAATTAGAACTGAATTTGGAAAAAGTTTTGAAACAAATCTTTGTGCATAACAAACTAAATTAATTATTTATAGGCTAATTGATGTCTGTGCGTACAAGGTTTCCCTATCCACGAGAGCGAAACTTAAAGTAGATCATTTATCTCTCATTCTTACGCTACAGATGCTCTGTTTAACTGTTTTCTTTCTAGTGAAGTGTTCAGTTTTTTCACTTACACTTACTTTGCGTCCTGTAAATAGCAAATGCGATATGGCGCGACGCAACTGACTCTTAAAGGGAATGGGAGATGAGACTCTGATTGGTTTATTCTCAAATAGGGTTGTAACAATATACCGGTATGACGGTCTACCACGATTTGAACGTGCACGATTATCATACCATGAACAATTGCATATCAACGGTTTTAACCCTTAAAGACCGAGACAGCCGCCCGTGGCTAAAAATAAGTATTGCTCTTAAATGTTTAATAACTTTTGATCCGCTGATCCGATTCATACAATTCAAAGATTGGCATAAAGAAGAGAATCTCAGCTTTCCAGTGCTGTATCACATAACATTCGCGGACTTTCAGAGGCTCCGGAATCAGTGCGGTTACATCATCAAAATTTGACAACGCTGATTTGACAAAGAAACGCTCGTCACTGTGTCTCCGGACAAATCAGACATGATACATTGATGCATTGTCCCTCCTCCATGCCCAGATTGGTTCAAACTCGCTATATCACAACCAATAAGCATAGGTTTCGCTTTTGTTTGTGTACCAAGCTTTTTGAACAATACGGAATGAGAGATAGGCATACATTTCTGCGCGGCTAAATAAAACGCAAAAAAAAAAAAGTTTTGCATGAAATAATTCTGATACTAAGTACTTTTGCATGCACAGCAGCACAGAAACATGACAAAACAGTGACACAGCAAAGACGAACTGCTGCTCTTGCTGTTTTCAAAAGACACAAATGAAGATGCAGCTGTTTGTCTGCATTGCATACAACCACATCCAAATCCATGCTGGCACATAGAACCTAAGGATGTTCCATATTGAATCTAGTTTCGTTATGTAACTATTTAAAGTATAGTAAATATTTATATCTATTTTTTACTGAGGATTTGCACCATGTTTATTTGGACTTTATTTGGACTTTGACACATTATTTATTATTTTCTTATTTTTATTTGTTCATTGTAAGTGGTGTTGTTTATAGTAACTAAAAATATATTATATGGAAAAAGTCAAATTTGCTTCACTGTTCTATTATTTTGTAACATTTGTAACATACCGTATACCGCGAAACCGTCAAACCGTGGTATTGTTTTAGACGATTATCATACCGTGAAAAATTCATACCGTTACAACCCTAGTCAGCAGTTTGTGAATCCACCCCGAATGTTGTTGACTGGAGTTGGATTTGGGAGTCTTAGAGAGCCTGCAGGACTCTATTCAGCCTGTTTATGAAGCACTTTGGCTGCTCTCCGCTCACTGCTGCTGATTTCAGCTTTTACTTTGCTTGTGGGGACATTTGCTCCTCACTATGTAGATAAAACCTGACACACACACACACACACACACACACACACACACACACACACACACACACACAGTAATGGCTCTCATACACTCACTCAAGGCATATCAAGTATCTCTAGTTTACTCTCTCCTCCATTAGCTCTCTCTCTCTCTCTTCATCTCTCTCTTTTCCTCAGAGTATCTCTCTGATTCACACAGACTCACACTGATGACGGCAGAGATGGAATTTTCTGTCACACTTCTACTGCAGGACACGCACACAAAATTTTAGGAACAACAAATAATAACTTGTCTTCTAGTTGGTCATTTGGTATCAGAAGTGGCTTATATGAAAGGCAAAGGCCTCTAGATTACACTTATTTTACCACAATAAAATCTGATCATGCCTTGATTATTAATGATTTCATTAGGACAGAAAGGTCTGACCTTGCTTAGACAAAAGTCTTGTCACTGAACAGAAATAATGTCCAGTATAGAATATGAAGTCCTGCTGCAGTGGAGACAGAATGAATATTGTGTCTGACTCCATCATGAGCTTGGAGGACTGCATTCATACATCTCTGACATGACTCAAATCAATCATTAATAAAGTCATCTGGAATGGCAAAGAAAGCGTTCCTGCAGGACTCCCAGAGTTCATCAAGACTCTTTGGATTTTTCTTCAACGCCTCCTCCTTCATGCTCAATAATGTTCATGTCTGGTGACTGGGCTGGCCAATCCTGGAGCACCTTGGCCTTCTTTGCTTTCAGGAGCTTTGATGTGGAGGCTGAAGTATGAGGAGCAACGCTATCCTGCTGAAGAATTTGTCCTCTCCTGTGCTTTGTAATGTAATGGGCAGCACGAATGTCTTGATACCTCAGGCTGCTGATGTTGCCATCCACTCTGCAGATCTCTCGCACGCCCCCATACTGAATGCAACCCCAAACCATGATTTGTCCTCCACCAAACTTGACTGATTTCTGTGAGAATCTTGGGTCCATGCGGGTTCCAGTAGGTCTTTTGCAGTATTAGTGATGATTGGGATATATATATGAGCGATATCACACGAGTAGCAGTGCGATATGGCTGTATATCGGCACTGGTGGGAGGCATGCGTTGTTCCTCCTTAGTGCCCCCACCAGTGCCGATATACAGCCATATATCGCACTGCTACTCGTGTGATATTGCGTTTATACCACAGCTTGACAGCATAATTGTGTATATAAAAGCGAAATCAAACATGGAGAGTTTCAAAAACCCTTTTGTATGAGGAACTACTTTTTTTCCGGATTCAAATCATAAGCTGACAGTTAAACAGTTGAGCGTGCATCTTTTAAACTTTAGATCTGTAGTGTCTGCTTTTTGCTGGCTGTAGGTGGGCGGAGTAATACACAAAGGGTAAAGAGGCTGTAGGAGTTCTGATATTGCAGAATATCGCACGGCTATCTGCCAATCAGATTTGAGAACCAGACAGAACTGTTGTATATATATATATATATTTAGAGAGAGAGGGAGAGAGAGAGAGAGATAAAGAAAATAATAGATTTTTAAATAAAAGATATATTATATATATATTATTTTGTACCTGCAGATGATCTATTTTCACCCCTGGCCGCTGTACTGTCCACCGCACTCGCACCCTAACTCTTTTGGAGTTTAATTAATGCACACCTTTTGTAAAGCTGCTTTGGATCCATCATTATTGTGGAAAAGCGCTATACAAACAGACTTGAATTGAATTTTTATTTAGAGATTGGTGTTAAAATGCTGCCAACATCATAATTTCCCTCAGATTGTCTCCATATTGAGCAGGATCTCTCATAATGGAGCCTTTAAGACTCAGCATCTTGAATGAAAAATAAAACACATGCACATTTATATGTATTTATGTATGTATTAAATCATCTTTGCATCAAATTACAAAATGTGAATCGCCGCTTGTGTGAGGTGTGTGTAACGCAGTGTCTATAGGTGCAGGACAGTAAATCTGACATTATTCTCTCTTCTGGCTGCCGTTATCAGTCTTACACTTGTTTTCTGTCATTATTTCGGCAGGTAGGATTGTGAAAGAATTATTTATTGTACTCTTCAATTCCCTGTGCTCTTAGTTTACCCAACTATGATGAAAAGAGTATGATGTTTTCTGGACTGTATTAAAGCTCTGAATCTCTGTTTGCAGTTGCCGCAGCAACCGGAAGAGTCTGATTCTGACCTCCACCTCCCCGACTTTGCCCCGCCCACACTCGCCATTACCAGGACACATAGGTGAGTGGCCCTGCTCCCTCATAGACAGATCTTAACGCTGCTTTAAAGGGACAGTTCACCCAAAAACGAAAACTACCTCATCCCTATTCTCCCTCAATGTGGTTTAAAGCCTTTATGAGTTTGTGTCTGCTGTTGAACACAAAGGAAGATATTTTGAAGAATGCTGTAAACCAGGGATCACCAATCTCGGTCCTGGAGGGCCGGTGTCCCTGCAGGGTTTAGCTCCAACTTGCCTCAACACACCTGCCTGGATGTTTTAAGTATACCAAGTAGGACCTTGATTAGCTTGTTCAGGTGTGTTTGATTAGGGTTGGAGCTAAAATCTGCAAGACACCAGGAACAAGTTTGGTGACCCCTGCTGTAAACTTTGGCATCAGCTTCCTTAGTAGAAAAAAATAAAATGTAATGAAAGTCAATGGGTGCCAGTTACCAGGATTTTTCAGAACATATTTCTTTGTGTTCATCAGAAGAAACTCAAATGGGTTTTGAACAAGGGGAGGATGTTTAAATGATGGCAGAATTTTCTTTATTTTGGGTGTACTGTCTCTTTAAGGCAGTCTGGATGGGTTTTAGCGAAGGCGACAGATGTACAAAGGCAGTCTGTTTGCATTAGTATGAATGAGGAAAAGGGCAAGGCTAATTATGGCCACCCTAGCAAAGGAAGTCCCGCCTTCCAGTCAAAATAGCCAATCATCAATCTTTACAGACTGGTTTATTGGTGTGTATGCAAAAGCTTTTAACTTTCTCTCCCTTTCCTTCTTTTTGTCATTTCTTCAATGATTATGTACAGTTGAAGTCAGAATTATTCGCCCCCCGGTTTATTTTTTTTCCTAATTTCTGTTTAACGGAGAGCAGATTTTTTCAACACGTTTCTAATCATAGTAGTTTTAATAACTCATCTCTAATCACTGATGTATTTTATCTTTGCCATAATGACAGTCATTAATATTAGACTAGATTTTTTTTCAAGACACTTCTATACAGCTTAACTAGGTTAATTAAGTTAACTACGCAGGTTAGGGTAATTAGGCAGGTTATTATGTAACGATGGTTTGTTCTGTAGACTATTGAAAAAAGTCCTGATGTTGTTGATTGATTGATGTTTGTTGTTAATTAGATTGCGTTTGTGTTTGTTGCTGTCCCTACAGGAAGTAGTCCTCTGGACAGCCCTCGTAACTTCTCTCCCAGTACTCCTGCACATTTCTCCTTCGCTTCCTCTAGACGGTAAATAAAAACACACACACACACACACACACACACACACACACACACACACACACACACACACACACACACACACACACACACAGCTTTAACTGAGTGTTCAAGCATTTTAATTCTTTCCATCCATCCATCTCTCTATTCATCCATCCATTTATCCATCCATCTCTCTATTCATCCATCCATTCATTTATCCACTCTCTATTCATCCGTCCTTATCTCCATCCATCCATCCATCCATCCATCCATCTCTCTATATTTATCCATTTATCTATCCATCCATCCATCCATTCATACATTCATCTATCCATCTATCTCTCTATCCATCCATCAATTCATCTATCCATCAATCATATCTCCATCCATCCATCCATCCATCCATCCATCCATCCATCCATCCATTCATACATTCATCTATCCATCTATCTCTCTATCCATCCATCAATTCATCTATCCATCAATCATATCTCCATCCATCCATCCATCCATCTCTCTATATTTATCCATTTATCTATCCATCCATCCATCCATCCATCCATCCATCCATCCATCCATCCATCCATCCATCCATCCATCCATCCATCCATCCATCCATTCATACATTCATCTATCCATCTATCTCTCTATCCATCCATCAATTCATCTATCCATCAATCATATCTCCATCCATCCATCCATCCATCCATCCATTCATACATTCATCTATCCATCTATCTCTCTATCCATCCATCAATTCATCTATCCATCAATCATATCTCCATCCATCCATCCATCCATCCATCAATCCATTCATACATTCATCCATTCATCTATCTCTCTATCCATCCACTAATTCATCTATCCATCCATCATATCTCCATCCATCCATCCATCCATCCATCCATCCATTCATACATTCATACATTCATCTATCCATCTATCTCTCTATCCATCCATCAATTCATCTATCCATCAATCATATCTCCATCCATCCATCCATCCATCCATCCATCTCTCTATATTTATCCATTTATCTATCCATCCATCCATCCATCCATTCATACATTCATCTATCCATCTATCTCTCTATCCATCCATCAATTCATCTATCCATCAATCATATCTCCATCCATCCATCCATCCATCTCTCTATATTTATCCATTTATCTATCCATCCATCCATCCATCCATCCATTCATACATTCATCTATCCATCTATCTCTCTATCCATCCATCAATTCATCTATCCATCAATCATATCTCCATCCATCAATCCATCCATTCATACATTCATCTATCCATCTATCTCTCTATCCATCCATCAATTCATCTATCCATCAATCATATCTCCATCCATCCATCCATCCATCCATCCATTCATACATTTATCTATCCATCAATCATATATCCATCCATCCATTCATACATTCATCTATCCATCTATCTCTCTGTCCATCCATCAATTCATCTATCCATCAATCATATCTCCATCCATCCATCCATCCATCCATCAATCCATTCATACATTCATCTATCCATCTATCTCTCTATCCATCCACTAATTCATCTATCCATCAATCATATCTCCATCCATCCATCCATCCATCCATCCATCCATCCATTCATACATTCATCTATCCATCTATCTCTCTATCCATCCATCAATTCATCTATCCATCAATCATATCTCCATCCATCCATCTGTGCAGAGATGGGCGTCGCTGGTCCCTGGCGTCTCTTCCATCTTCTGGATATGGAACCAACACACCCAGTTCAACGGTAACTCACTTTCACTCAGCTGTTTTCTAAAGCAGGTCGCACACCAGAAGCGCCGCTCGGTTGTTGCCACGCAGCGCCATGCATTTTAGAATTCTAAACATAGGTTTCTATCAGGATACACACACCGGCGACGCAAGTCGGCGGCTGTCGGCGGCGCCCGGCCACGGCTCAGGACGCAGTTCTGGTGTGCGACCTGCTTAAGGGTTGATTGTACACTCTTGATTCTGATTGGCTGATGAGCATTCTAAGGTGTGCTGTTATTTTCAAATAAACGCACAGACAAAGTAGTTCCAGCAGCTTTTGAGCGCATTCAAAAACACTTTGCAATAAGGTTGTATTAGTTAACGTCAATGTGTTTACTAACATGAACAGTGAAAAACACATTTATTACAGAGTTTACTCACCTTTGTTAGTGTTAGTTAATGGAAATAAAGTTGTTCATTGTTAATTCTTGTAACTCACGGTGCGTTAACAACTATGATTAGTAAATGCTGTACAAGTGTTCATGTTAGTAAGTACATTAATTGATGGAAGCTTATTGTAAAGCGTGACCAATGTTTATTAATTTTCATTTTTAAATACTTTAAAAAGTTGCTATTTTTAATGTAGTAAAAGCTTGATATTCTGTTTATATGATCTCAGTTTATTTGATTAAACTTGACAAAGATTATTAAGGTCCTCAGCTCTTGCTAACTGTCTGTTACGACCACAGTCACAACATTAAATAAGGGAAAAACACAAATGGATCAGTCTAGGGGTTTTATTAATTAAACAATCAAACATAAATAAAGTGTGGGGAGGAAACACAATAAACACAGGCTGAGAACAAAAGGAGCACAACTCCCGACAGTGAATTGTCTGCAGGTGCGGAGAAAATCAACTCTAAATGAAAACACAAGCAGCAACACAACACAAGAGGGCGACAAAGTAACAAATAAATAAATAATAAATACATGGACATTAGGGGTGTCAAAATTAATTGTTTCTTCGGTGCACCGCGATGCAGACGCGGACAATAAGGTATCGGTTCCGTAATAATCATAACCGGTTATTATGTACTGACGTCATTGATCTCCTATGCGCTCTGTCGCGAGGGAGGTGAGCGCGAGTATTTTTAACACTCAGCCAACTCAGGGCTGGTCCGTGGCATAGGCACCATAGGCAAATGCTAAGGGTGCTGTACATCCAGGGGGGCGCCAGAAATGAGCGCGGTTAAGTTGGTTTTGTTTTCGAAATTCCTGACACACATTCAGCTTTAGACGGCAATAACTCAAAAACCTCTTACCCTAAAAAGATCTAAAGTGTGTTTCCCACAAAAAGACAAAGCTGGTTATGTTTCACAGCTGTCTTTCTTTTTTTTCGCTCGACATTACGAGCACTGCTCCGTTTAAGCCAGGGCCGGAGTGGGACTCTTTTTCAGCCCTGGAGTTTCAAGCCTCAGACCGGCCCACCTCAGTTCACCACTGACTATATTAAAATAAGGTTATTTCCAATTCAGTTTCTAATTACACTATCACGTCTTTTTTTTTGAGAAAACAGCTCTTTTAGAACTTCAAATGTTCAACAACCCTTACAGTATTATGTCTTAACAATAAAAATGAAAAAAAAAAAAATTGTTATTCAGACAAGGACCGAACCCAGGTTGGCCGCGTCATAATCTAACGTACAAACCACTGTACCACAACAGCTGTACGTTTAATGGTGACTCATCTAGTTATATCATTATTAACCTGCAGGCTGCATCCTGCTCACGAGGCTACGAGAAAATAGATAAAAAGAGCAGAGCTGCGGTAAAATAATGAATAAGAAGGCTGTGGTCAAGTAAATAAATAAATTATTTTTTAAAAAAGTGTGACTGCTGAGAGCAACCGATTGTAATTTAGTCAAATGTTTACAAATACAAGCGCAGCCGTTTAAAGCTCATTTGTGGTGAATGATGTCAGAATTTACCGGTATTTTGGAATGGATGTGTGAATGCTCTTTTCCGGAAAATTTCCGTGACGTCCTCGCCTGTGTGAACAGCGCTTTTTTCAATATACCGGTAAAGTCTTTCCGGAAATTTTCCGGATATTTACCGGTATCACTGTTTGAAAGGGGCTAGTGTGGTGCTGTGTGTCTGTGTGTTTATACAGACATCTTGTTATAGCCTCCCCCCTAAAATATAACACTGTATATGGAAAGCATCGTCAATGCACCGTGATGCACCGAGATATCGAAATACCGAATTGAAAGCATGATAATCGTAACCGAACCGTGAGACCAGTATAGGTTCACACCTCTAATGGACATGTAACACTGTCCCTAAATCCAGCTTGAAACTAAAGGAGACAGCTTTCTCAGTCTATACTGCAAAACTTGGGGACACATCTCTATTAGAAATTAGAGCTTCATCTACATTAAGTGTTCTTAAAAAAAAAAATCAGTCAAACTTCGCTCTACTCTTTAGCTGACTAATTGTTTTTCATCTTGCCATGTCTGTGAAGCACTTATGTCAACATTCATGTCGTTTTAATGTGCTATACAAATGAAGTTGTCTTTGATATGGGTTAATGTGTGTGTGTGTGTGTGTGTGTGTGTGTGTGTGTCTGCAGTCTTCCAGCTCGTCTCAGGAGCGTCTGCATCAGCTGCCGTCTCAGCCCACCATGGACGAGCTGCACTTTCTGTCCAAACACTTCGGCAGCACAGAGAGCATCACCGATGATGATGGAGGACGCTGCTCACCTCACATAAGACCACGCTCACGCAGCCTGAGGTGAACACACACACCCCTGTGAATTTAGACCACAATTATTCATCAGTATGGTGTAAGATGTAGTGGTTAAAGGAATAGTGGTCAGGTCACTATGTGATGCTGGTGGAGGAAAATGTTTCCTGACTTGCTTCTCCAAAACACCCCTAAGTGGCTTAATAATATTTAGATCTGGAGACTGTGCAGGCCATGGGAGATGTTCAACTTTATTTTCATGTTGATTAAATCACTCTGTCATTAGTCTTGCTGTGTGTATTAGTGCATTATCATCCTGATACACTGCCTTCAGAATACAGTGTTTAACCAATTGGGTGCACGTGGTCCTCCAGAATAGTTCGGTAGTCCTTGGCAGTGACCCAGCACCCATTAAGCACAAGTGTTGGGTCTAGGGAATGGCATGATTTTGCAGCCCAAACCATCACTGATCCACCCTAATGCTTCATTCTGGGCATGCAGCAGTCTGGGTGGGACGCTTCTCCACACCGTAACTCTCCCAGATGTGGGAAAGACTTCCTCCTGTTGGATGTGGTTTGTCCTTGGTGGTTTGCTGACATTACTCTGGATCTTGTGGCTCTTAATACATCACAAAGACTAACAGGCACTTTTGGCATGGAAATTATGTTTTGTTCACAATTTCTCCCCGCACAAAGTAAAGCTATGGAACAACGAAAGCATTTTAGTAAAGAATAAATCGATTTTCAATAAGAATTGGCTTGAAAAAGATATTAATTATGTTTGTGATTTATTTGATCCACAAGGGAACTTCTATTCATATGGTGATTTTATGGTTAAATATAATTTCCCTGTAATTCATAAAGAATTTTATACTGTGATTAAAGCCATACCTAATGGCCTTGCTCATTTAATGAAATGCCACTTGTCATTTGAAGTAATTGTTAAAAAGGAACCAAAGTTTTTAGTTGAAGACAAATGCATTTACGACCCAAAATGTAGTAATAAAAATATAAGAAACGTGTTTCAGTCAAAAAAATAATTACTCCGAGGGGAAAATTTCTTTGGAATTCTTTAATAGATAAAATTAATTGGAAAAAAGCTTGGCTCTTACCTTACAAATTGTGTGTTCCCAACAAAGTTAAAGAACTACATTTAAAAGTTTTACACAATATTTACCCCACAAATGAGATTGTTTCTAAATCTGGTAATTCTAATTCAAATTGTGTCTTTTGTAAATCAAGCATCGAATCAATTGATCATCTTTTTGCCAAATGCCCACATGTTAATATGTTTTGGTCTGATTTATCTGTTTATTTTTCATCAAAATGTAAGTTTAACATTAATTTTTCCATGTGTGATATAATTTGTTACTTTTATCATGAAAAACATGACATAGAATTTATAGGTAATTTATTTATTTTATTGGGTAAATATTATATTCATAAATGTAAATTTTCTTTATCAGTACCTAAGCTGCAGAATTTTCTCTGTGACTTAAACTGTTTAATAACTACTCTACAAAACGTTTACAGCAAAAAAAGTGTTAAAACTGTGAAATTTTATATAGACTTTATGAATATCGTTTAATTTGATAATTTGCCTCTGTACTCGGTTGTTTTTTCTTTTTTCTTTTTTTATTTACCTTTGTACTTGTTGTCATCCATTGTTATGATTAATATGTTTGTATTGTTAAAATACAAAAAAAAAAAAAAAAAAAAACATTACAAAGACTTCCTGCTAGCGAGACACGAACCAACAATTTGTTCTGTTTTAAACTAATATGTCACCAATAATGTTGTGTGCATTGCAGTATTTGAAGCAGCACTGTGCTATTACTCTGGTAGTTAGCCCTTCACACTCTGCTCTTACTGGTGGAATAACGATCAATGAAGATTAGCCACCGGGCTGGTCAAATTTAGCCATGAAACCCCCAAAACTAAATTGACTAGTGTTTCAGTTTCATTCTCCAACCCCTGTATGTGTTGCATATATGGCATTTATTCTATTTATGTCAAATCCAAACTTGTACTGTATGTTATTTATGTCATTTGTATGTATTGCCATTTGTCAGTTCTCTATATGGGATATTCCTCATGCTTGTTTTTAATTCAAGAGTTCATCTAACACACTCTTTCTCATGTCATGTGTTGTGTTCAGTCCGGGCCGCTCTCACTCCTGCTACGACAATGAGATCATCATGATGAATCATGTTTACAGGGAACGCTTCCCTAAGGTAAAACACACACACACACACACACACACACACACACACACACACATGGTTTTCACACCATATGTCTACCTGATTTCACACCTCTACAATGTCAGTATGATTGTCGTATGTTAAATTCAGTTTATTATATTATATTATATTATATTATATTATATTATATTATATTATATTATATTATATTATATTATATTATATTATATTTTTTATATTATATTATATTTTATTTTACTATATTATATTATATTATGTTATATTATATTTTTTATGTTATATTATATTATATTATGTTATATTATATTATATTTTTTATATAATATATTATTTTATATTATATTTTATTTTACTATATTATATAATATTATTTTATATTATATTATATTTTTTATATTCTATTCTATTATATCATATTATATTATATTATATCATATTATATTTAATTTTTTATATTATATTTTATTTTATTATATTATATCATATTATATTATATTTTTATATTATATTATATTATATCATATTATATTATATATTTATATTATATTATATCATATTATATTATATTTTTATATTATATTATATTATATTATATCATATTATATTTGTTATATTATATTATATTTTATTTTACTATATTATATTATATTATATTTTATTATATTATATCATATTATATTTTTATATTATATCATATTATATTATATCATATTATATTATATTTTTATATTATATTATATTATATTATATTATATTTTTATATTATATTATATTATATTATATTATATTATATTATATCATATTATATTATATTTTTTATATTATATTATATCATATTATATTATATTATATTATATCCTATTATATTTTTTATATTATATTATATTATATTATATTATATTTTATTTTACTATATTATATTTTATTATATTTTATTATATTATATTATATTTTTTATATTATATTATATTATATCATATTATATTATATCATATTTATTTTTTATATTATATTATATTTTATTATATTATATCATATTATATTATATTTTTTATATTATATTATATTATATCATATTATATTTTTATATTATATTATATTATATCATATTATATTTAATTTTTTATATTATATTATATTTTTTATATTATATTATATTATATCATATCATATTATATTATATTATATCATATTATATTATTATATTATATTACATTATATTATATTATATTGTATTATATCATATCGTATCATATATTATATTTTATTGTACTATATTATATTATATCATATTATATTTTGTTTTTTATATTATATTATATTAATTTTATTATTATATTATATCATATCATATTATATTTTATTATATTATATTTTATTATACTATATTATATTTTATTTTATCATATTATATTATATTTTATTTTTTATATTAAGTTATATTATATTATATTATATTTGATTTTTAAAATTATATTATATTATATTATATTTATTATATTATATTATATTATATTACATTATTATAAAATAACACTCTAGAGCAGGGCTATTCAATTAGTTTGTCATGGGGGCCAGTTCATGCAAAGCATTCCAAGGGCCGGAGAGATATGATTTGCTGTATAAGTGATAACACAACAGCTTTTAAGAGCCCATATGCTGTATTTTTGCTCCTTAAGACACCCACGTTGGCTTTTTCTACATTAAAATGTGCATGTATTGTATTTTGAAACTACATAATATCAGTGCAGTGTACAATACTTATTTTTATTTTTTACAAACATTCAAATGTATTTCAGAGCACAACAAAAGCAGTGCATTGCTGCTGTAGGCTTCTTCTACATTCAGACACATTCATATGCTATATTTTGAACTGCATAACAATTGGGGATGCAACATTATAGATTTTGGTTGTGTGAAGAATAATCATGGTTTCACGGTTATCACGTGTAATGTAAATTCAAGCTTTATATTAGGTAAGTAGCTATATAGATTAACTGTTGTTGCCATCTGCATTCATGCATGCATAATCATTTAAATAATAATTCGTCGGACATATCTTTTGTTTACATTGCACTGAAAGGCACGCACAACTCTCACCAAGAGATGTTTTCTACTGTGTGTGCGGGGAAAGCCGCTAGCGGGTTGCTCTGCTTCTGCGCATATTGTCATGTATTCTTACATTAGAAATAACAAACTTGCAAGCGGAAAAGACGTGATATGGGAACAGCCACTGCTATAGTTAATTCGTTGTGCGTGCGTATTAGCCTCATACTCGGGACTTTAAACTAGCGCACAGTTAGCATAACTTTGTTTAATTTCAGCAGTTTAGTTTTGTTCCGTGCAACAGAAATGCGGCTTAGAGAAGCCTTTACGATTAATTAACCGTGACGAATTTAAGCGCAGTTAATAGTGAAATCGGCTAATTGTTGCATACCTATTGACGATATTAATGCATAGTACAAAAGGCTTTTTCTACAAACATATCCAAATGTGTTCGGCTGCCTGCACAACTGGACTAAATGTATTTTTGATGTCTTGGTCACACTATTTGGAGAGCAGGAACAAATTGCCTCGGGGGCCGAGTTCGGCCTGCAGGCCGCCAATTGAATAAGGCCCCGTTTACACTAATGCGTTTTAGTTTGAAAACGCATAAGTTTTGCTACGGTTACGCCATCCGTCCACACTACGCCGGAGTTCTCGAGCGCCGAAAACGGAGCGTTTCGAAAACGCTGGAGAGGCCGTTTTCATTCTAAAACGCTGCAGCTCCGTCTCAGTGTGGATGGGGAAAGACGGAGACATCTGAAAACGGAGGCGGGGCTGCAGACATTCGCCTCTCTGATTGGGGCTTTTCCTCAATATTAAGTAGCCTAACACACAGTTCAGTCCTTAATCTTCTCCGTGTAAGTTCAGACTTCGCAAGTTTGATCAAGGCTGCAGTCTCTTCTTCTCAGTTTGATATGGAAAACATACCGAGGACACGCGTCAATCTTCACAGGGAACAGTGTACTTTATAACTTCATTCACATCACCTTGGCTACGTTGTTTCACTTTCTCAACAATAAAATGTAAACTTGATTTAAGGAACTGCCTATTTTCATTTTAATATTAGCAACTTAGACAGCAGAAATGTTGAGGCGTCGTGCTGCATGAGCGTCATCTTCACTGTGTGGATATTTATAACAAAACGGAGCCGATAACAACTGCCTCCTTTCAATTTCAGTGAAAATAGGAAAAACAGCCTCTCTTTTGCTGAATATCAGTTTTAATAATCGATAATGACCATTATAAAAGTATAACATACAATAAGTTTATACATTATAGGAAATAAAGGCAAGCGATCAGTCAATATACAGAATGTAGGCTACGTGCTTACATTAATCATTAACTTATCTTTGCGCTCAGCCAAAACACGTTACCTGAGAACAAGTAATAGATTCCAATGACCAAAGTCAGGGAATATGTCGTTAGATAAAGACAACAAGATGAATGAAATATCCCGTTTAATAAATATAGTGAGATTAGATCCAGCGGGAGATGCTTGATGAGAAGTCCGACTAGCAGAGCTCTCATCTGGGTAGATGGGCTCCAGCGATTGCCAAAGTGTGTGTGTGTGGTCACGTGATGTGCGTTTTCAGCATTTTGGTGTGGACGGAGAGCAGTTCAGAAACGCTGGGTGAAACGCGAGTGTGGACGCGGATCGTTTTCATTCTAAAACGCCGTTTTAAAACTAAAACGCACTAGTGTAAACGGGGCCTAAGCCTGTCCTATGCTAATGTGGGAGAAATGATGTCACTAGTGTAGTACAAAGGTAGAATGTCAATCTAAGTGTTTCTGCAGACTGTGCAAATATAAACAATAGAATTAATACATGTTTACTAGGGCTGTGCAATATGGACAAATTAATCATATTGTGATTTTACGAACGAATATTGCGATTGCGATTTTATTTGCGATTTTGGCAACTGTTTTTGCTTTTTCAAACAAGCTACATACAATCTAAATGCATTCAGTGCACAAGAAGTGCATAACAAAACTATTGAGTCAGTAATTTCTTTGTGCCGTTTTGACCCTTTCCCATAAGGCACGGCGCTTGCAAATGCTTGAACAATGGATACTAGTTTAGTCTGTTTGGGCTGGCTTTGATGTGTGCTTTTGTTTGTTTCGACTTTGTCGAGATGCATTGATCATGCAGTTTTTTATGACACTGTTTTAGGTGTCGGATCAGATTTGTAGTATTGCTCCGTTTTGTTGGAATAATCATTTCACAAGTCTAAAAATTGCCTTGCTCTGTGACACATCGGCTGCGTCCGAAACCGCCTACTACTCAGTAAATACTGCATTTGAATTGAAACGTACTACTCGGCTGTTAGAAAAGTACGTTCTATACAGTATGAATGTGAAAAGTATGAATGGAATTCGGACGTACTACATCCGCCATTTTGTCATGGTCACGTGACCTACCTGCGTCAATTGCGTCGCTTTACTCCCATTCATAAATTCGCTCACGGGGCATCATGGGATAGCGCAGCATGCATGGGATGCCTACTCTAGAATCTCGCCGGAAGTAGTAGGTCATCCTGGTACTTCTCACATACTGATTGTCGAATTCTATGAATTCGGACATACTACTCGGCTCGCATACTGATTTTAGCGTACTATATAGTATGGAAGTATGCGGTTTCGGACGCAGCCATCCTCTCTCCTGAATCCAAAATACTCCAAAATGACTGTCTTTGAATTTCTCCTTGGCACCAAATCTTTTTTTTTTTTTTGATCTGCATCCATAATTTATGCTCTTTCCTCCTGCTCGCCTATTCGGTTCTTCCACTTAACTTCGTCATGCGCAGAGTGAGCTGGTTAACATAATAGCTATATTTGCCCGGTGCGCTACGTCAGCTCTGATTGGTTAACATATTAATATCATGCGCACAAGAACATATTCTGAATAAAATTCTAAATAAATTAATAGATAAAAATTGCAGCCTTTTGCGATTTAGAAATTGCGTGTGCTTAAGTTGCGAATTTTTTTTTTTTTTTTTTGCAATCGCGATTAATTGCACAGCCCTAATGTTTACTATTAGAAGCTGGTTTTATTCCCACACTACTGACACACACCTTTGTTTAAACCCCTTATAAAAGTGATTATTGCGCAATAGGTAGTCTTGAAATAAAGATGTTACCACAAAAGACATAACGCTTCGGTCTGAGGGATCCAAAGAATGTGTAACTGAAGTTCCCCGCGAAAGTTATTGTGTTATCAGAGAAAATGGAGGACTAAAAGGTCTTAAATGTAGCTTGTTACACTCTTTAGACACTCTGTAAAATTTGCAGTCAAACATCATATAACATATTGATATTAATCAGTCATTTTCCACCAAATGGTCTGAGCTGCTCCACATTCATTTTGCAACTATAAACTCTCCCTGAATGATGCCTCGTGACTCTTATTACTCCAATGGGATTTTAGGAGAAACATCAGAGATATTTACAGTAAATCTCGTTCTGCTGCTGTCACGAGGTGCTTGGCTGACCACATCATGTGAAGCTTTTTCTAACATTAGACGTCTTAGGGGAGACAGTATTGATTTTTACTTAAACTACAGTTGAAGTCAGAATTATTAGCCCCCTTTTGATTTTTTTTTTCTTTTTTAAATATTTCCCGAATGATGTTTAACAGAGCAAGGAAATTTTCGCAGTATGTCTGATAATATTTTTTCTTCTGGAGAAAGTCTTATTTGGTTTATTTCGTCTAGAAAAAAAGCAGTTATTAATTTTTTGAAAAACCATTTTTGGGACAAAATTATTAGCCCCTTTAAGCTATATATTTTCCGATAGTCTACAGAACAAACCATCGTTATACAATAACTTGCCTAATTACCCTAACCTGCCTAGTTAACCTTATTAACCCAGTTAAGCCTTTAAATGTCACTTTAAGCTGTGTAGAAGTGTCTTGAAAAATATCTAGTCAAATATTATTTACTGTCATCATGACAAAGATAAAATAAAAAGGTTATTAGAAATAGGATTTTAAAAATGTATGCTTTATGCTTAGAAATATGCTGAAACAATCTGCCCTCCATTAAACAGAAATTGGGGAAAAAAATAAACAGGGGCGCTAATAATTAAGGGAGGCTAATAATTCTGACTTCAACTGTACATGCAGCTGTGTGTGTGTGTGTGTGTGTGAGTGATCTGAACTGACACTAATACACACGCACTAAGGGTGCTTTCACACCTGTGAATCGATTCAGTTGTTCCAAAACAGAGATTACAATTGTTACATTGTTGCTCTTTGCTCTTGGAGCGGTTCGCTTTCACACTGCAAAGTTTCTAAACGGACCAAAAGAGCTAAAACAAGTCACGTGCGAGTAAACTCTCCTCACATTGGTCAGAGTGTCAGGGTTTATTTTGCAGCGTCCCGCTCAGCTGTCAGGAGAGGTGGTGGTTTGGTGGTGATTGACAGGGTGCGCGCGCGACATGTCTGAGGTGAGACACGGTGGGGAGGGGTGAGAAGGGTGCGCAACGATGCCTATTTGAGGACCGGGAGGGAGACGCGAGATTACCGGGAGATCATCACTCGTTTGCGGTCATCCGGAGACTCGCGAAACTTCCCGTCCTACTCATAATTCTCTCTTCATATAGCCGTAAGCCTATTACATATCCATAAAACACTGTGATATAACCGCGCTCGGATCGGATCGCTTTCTCACTGCAATCGAACCGCTCCAGGGTTAGTTTCAATCGAGCCGAGACCACCTCATTCAAGCGATCTCGGAGCGATTACTTTGGCGCGGAACAGAGCGATTGCCCTGTTCACATATGCCAAACGAACCGCGCTAACTGGGCAAACGAGACACGTTCCGAAACAAAAGTGTAGGTGTGAAAGCACCCTAAGACTCTTACTGGTGTCTGGTGTCTCAGTTTGCTGTCAGACAAACACATTTATATCATTAGAGCAGAGTCAGGTTAACTGAGGACAACTGAACAGACACACACACACACAATACACACTTACAAATTGTAATTGATTCTAATGTTCTGTTAATTTGTATCCAGATTTTAAATGGTGAAGTCTGTGGATTGTAATTGTACTGTTAGTAATATTTTGGACTGGTCATTGGTTGATTTATTATAAAGTGATTCAGTGCTTATTCATTTCTTGAAACAAATGCACCAATATTTATAAGGAAACAATACATGTACAACATATAGGTTGAATATTCATAAGTAATCTCTGTAATTGTTCTGTGTGTCAGGCCACGGCGCAGATGGAGGGCAGGTTGTGTGATTTTGTCCACTCGTACTGTCCTGAGAACGTCCTGCCTCTGGCTGACGGGGTCCTCAGCTTCATCCATCACCAGATCATCGAGCTGTCCAGAGACTGCCTGACCAAATCTAGAGAGGGCCTCATCACATCCGTCTACTTCTTTGAGCTGCAGGAGAATCTGGAGAAACTTCTGGATGATGTAAGTGATGTGCTGTTCTATATGCTGCCTAGAAGTTTGCCATGAATAAATAGTCTAGAAATAAATAAGAGAAGTAAGAAACATTTTATAATTAGTAGAGATGCAGAGATAAGATTTTTTTATGACGTTTTTAACAAAACATATTTGTCCGATACCAGTATTGGTAAAAATGGTAGCTAGTTTTTAAATTTACATTTAATTCATTTTACTGACAAAAAAAGGTTGAATTCATTGAGCATTCAACGGTCAAACATTTTATAAGATGCAGAAATTAAGATAAAAATGTGTTCCAAACACCTCAGCAACTGCATAGCAACCTTTCAAAGTGTTCCAAGTATCTCAGCAACCATATAGCAACATTCTAACGTGTCCCAAGTATCTCAGCAACCGCATAGCAACATTCTAAGGTGGCCTAAATACCTCAGCAACCACATAGCAACATTCTAAACCGTGTTCCAAACACCCAGCAACCACATAGCAACATTCTAAACCGTGTTCCAAACACCCAGCAACCACATAGCAACATTCTAAACCGTGTTCCAAACACCCCAGCAACCACATAGCAACATTCTAAACCCTGTTCCAAACACCCTCGCAACCACATAGCAACATTCTAAACAGTGTTTCAAACACCCCAGCAACCACATAGCAACATTCTAAACAGTGTTCCAAACACCCAGCAACCACATAGCAACATTCTAAACAGTGTTCTAAACACCCCAGCAACCACATAGCAACATTCTAAACCGTGTTCCAAACACCCAGCAACCACATAGCAACATTCTAAACCGTGTTCCAAACACCCAGCAACCACATAGCAACATTCTAAACCGTGTTCCAAACACCTCAGCAACCACATAGCAACATGTTCCAAACACCCAGCAACCACATAGCAACATTCTAAACCGTGTTCCAAACGCCCAGCAACCACATAGCAACATTCTAAACCGTGTTCCAAACACCCCAGCAACCACATAGCAACATTCTAAACCCTGTTCCAAACACCCTCGCAACCACATAGCAACATTCTAAACAGTGTTTCAAACACCCCAGCAACCACATAGCAACATTCTAAACAGTGTTCCAAACACCCAGCAACCACATAGCAACATTCTAAACAGTGTTCTAAACACCCCAGCAACCACATAGCAACATTCTAAACCGTGTTCCAAACACCCAGCAACCACATAGCAACATTCTAAACCGTGTTCCAAACACCTCAGCAACCACATAGCAACATGTTCCAAACACCCAGCAACCACATAGCAACATTCTAAACCGTGTTCCAAACACCCCAGCAACCACATAGCAACATTCTAAACCCTGTTCCAAACACCCTCGCAACCACATAGCAACATTCTAAACAGTGTTTCAAACACCCAGCAACCACATAGCAACATTCTAAACAGTGTTCCAAACACCCCAGCAACCACATAGCAACATTCTAAACAGTGTTCCAAACACCCCAGCAACCACATAGCAACATTCTAAACAGTGTTCCAAACACCTTAGCAACCCCATAGCAACATTCTAAACAGTGTTCCAAACACCCAGCAACCACATAGCAACATTCTAAACAGTGTTCCAAACACCCCAGCAACCACATAGCAACATTCTAAACAGTGTTCCAAACACCTTAGCAACCCCATAGCAACATTCTAAACAGTGTTCCAAACACCTTAGCAACCACATAGAAACATTCTAAATAGTATTCCAAACACCTCAGCAACCACATAGCAACATTCTAAAGTGTTCCAAACACCCAGCAACCACATAGCAACATTCTAAACAGTGTTCCAAAAACCCTGCAACCACATAGCAACATTCTAAACCGTGTTCCAAACAACCAGCAACCACATAGCAACATTCTAAACAGTGTTCCAAACCCCTCTACAACTGCATAGCAACATTATAAAAACTATTCTGTACACTCCAGCAACCACATAGCAACAGTTGTAAACAATGTAATTAGCAGGGATACACTGGGATCTTTTTAGATTTTTAAGTAAAAGCTTTAAGTCGAAACCGATATTGGTCAATTACTTGCAAAAAAATCAGCATTAAATCAATGTTATTAACTAAAAGCGGGATGATCCATTGAGCATTACAAAAAAAAAAACAATATCACTATCTTCAAATGTTCAATATTTCTTTAAACAACCTGTTATTTAATTTGACACGTAATATAACATATTTAACAAATAACCTTAACAAATAAAGCCAGGGTTGTTATTGTATGTAAATGATCAGCTTTTGTGCTCCAGAAAAGGATCGACTCACTAAAGTGCAGCCAGTTTCTTTATTTTCCAAGTCGTTTTAACCCAAACCAGCCAATGCTTTTGTGTCAGTGCATGAGTGGGTGCACATCAGCTGCTTTCCCCATGACATATATTTTGTCTTTTGCAGGCATACAAATGCTGAATCATTGTCTCCAAGTTATTCATAGAGCCTTGTTATCTGCATTTTCATATTATTGCTGATATATTGGTGCATCCCTTATAATTATTAGTCTGGAAATAAATGTTCATTGTGTGCATATTGATATATTTGATTTTAGATATCAGCACTGATCATGTTTCTTTGTGTCTGTGTGTGTGTGTGTGTGTGTGTGTGTCAGGCGTATAAGCGGTCAGAGAGTTCAGAGTTGACCTTTGTCACAGAGTTGGTAAAGAAGATCTTCTTCATCATCGCTCGACCTGCTCGACTTCTGGAGTGTTTGGTGAGATATTTTTGGCTTTGTTATTGCCCATTATATAACATGATGCTCTAAACCGCTTTAGAAGCCAACAACACAGGCCTGGCGATTGCCATTTTCACTCCGACGTCAGAAAAGTAATTTTAACAAGAATCACTGCAAAACACACAAAAGAATGAGAGTTGAACCTGCGGCTGCATTAGCATTTAGATTGGAAGCAGTGTGTTAGTGTTATCACTGACCTTCTGTGATCCACCGCCTCTAAATCTCTCACAGTCATTGGAAAATGTTTCTGTGCTGCTCCAGGATTAAACCACTTCAAGCGTTTATTATCCCTGTTAAACGGAGACGCTCTGTAATGGGCTTCTCGCAGTACGTCTGGCTGTTGTTCATGTACTTCAGCAAATTACAAATGCTCAGTTTAATTCAGCTTCACTTCAAGACTAAACTCTATTAGGCCAGTCACCTTAGAAACCACATAATGTAGCAACTGCCTAAAAGTATCTAAACACCCCGGCAACCGCATAGCAACATTCTAAACAGTGTTTAAAACACCTCAGCAACCGCAGAGCAACAATCTAACAAATGTTTAAAACACCTCAGCAATCGTGTAGCAACGTTGAAAAACCTGTTCAAACACCTTAGCAACCCCATAGCAACATTCTAAACAGTGTTCCAAACACCTCAGCAACCACATAGCAACATTCTAAAGAGCGTTTCAAACACCTTAGCAACCCCATAGCAACATTCTAAACAGTGTTTTAAACACCTTAGCAACCACATAGCAACATTCTAAACAGTGTTTCAAACACCTTAGCAACCCCATGGCAACATTCTAAACAGTGTTCCAAACACCTTAGCAACCACATAGAAACATTCTAAATAGTATTCCAAACACCTCAGCAACCACATAGCAACATTCTAAACAGTGTTCCAAACACCTTAGCAACCACATAGCAAAATTCTAAATAGTATCCCAAACACCTCAGCAACCACATGGCAACATTCTAAACAATGTTCCAAACACCTTAGCAACCCCATAGCAACATTCTAAACAGTGTTCCAAACACCTCAGCAACCACATAGCAACATTCTAAACAGTGTTTCAAACACCTTAGCAACCCCATAGCAACATTCTAAATAGTATTCCAAGCACCTCAGCAACCACATAGCAACATTCTAAACAGTGTTTCAAACACCTTAGCAACCCCATAGCAACATTCTAAATAGTATTCCAAGCACCTCAGCAACCACATAGCAACATTCTAAACAGTGTTTCAAACACCTAAGCAACCACATAGCAACATTCTAAATAGTATTCCAAGCACCTCAGCAACCACATAGCAACATTCTAAACAGTGTTCCAAACACCTTAGCAACCCCATAGCAACATTCTAAACAGTGTTCTAAACACCTTAGCAACCACATAGAAACATTCTAAATAGTATTCCAAACACCTCAGCAACCACATAGCAACATTCTAAATAGTATCCCAAACACCTCAGCAACCACATGGCAACATTCTAAACAGTGTTCCAAACACCTTAGCAACCACATAGAAACATTCTAAATAGTATTCCAAACACCTCAGCAACCACATAGCAACATTCTAAACAGTGTTCCAAACACCTTAGCAACCACATAGAAACATTCTAAATAGTATTCCAAACACCTTAGCAACCACATAGCAACATTCTAAAAAGTTCCAAACACCTCAGCAACCACATAGCAACATTCTAAAAAGTCCCAAAGACCTTAGCAACCATTATATACTATACAGTAGCAGCAGTATGAGTGTCTGACCTGCTGTGTGCAGGAGTTTAACCCTGAAGAGTTCTACCATCTGCTGGAAGCGGCTGAAGATCACGCTAAAGAAGGTCACCTGATGAAGACGGACATCCCGCGCTACATCATCAGTCAGCTGGGTCTGACACGAGACCCTCTGGAGGGTGAGAGACCACACGCACACCCACTCACACACACCCACACACATCACTGCTGTCATCACAGAGGAGCTGTCAGGTGATCACTGACCGACTGTGACGTCTGTGTTTCAGAGATGGTCAGTCGGGAGCATTATGACAGCGAGGGTCCCGTCACACCAGAGACAGACGACTCTGCAGAGGTCTGAACACACACACACACACACTTGTACAGCTATCTTGATGGGGACATCATATAGATATGCACTGTACAGACTGTATATTGTGTCATTTTCTCCAACTCTATCCCTTAAACCAGCAAACAATCTGCACTTTTATCCTTTCAAAACCCCTAGTTTTCTCATGAGGACCAAAACTGGTCCCCACAAGATCAAAATGTACTGATATTGCTATACTTGTGGGGACATTCGGGAATACTTGCACAGTCACTCACTCATCATCATTTTCAGATATCCTGGTGCTATTTCAGAGAAATGATGTTACAAGAGTATAATGAGGATGTGCAAGAGAGCGTGATGGGATTTTGAAGGGATTTTCTCTTTTCCAGGGAAAAATGAAACCCATGAAGCCACCAGGAGAGGCAGATTTCCAAACCATCAAACTCATCAGCAATGGAGCCTACGGGTAAACTAACACACACTGTACAGACTGTGTCCAATTCCAAACACCCCAGCACCCCAGTTTATTTACATTTGTACAGTTGTGTGTAGATACTGTACACATGACAGAGGTTGCTTTGTGTTTTTTCAGCGAGGTGTATCTGGTCCGTCATCTGGAGACCCGGCAGCGCTTCGCGATGAAGAAAATCAACAAGCAGAACCTGATTCTGAGGAACCAGATCCAGCAGGCGTTTGTGGAGCGAGACATCCTGACCTTTGCTGAGAACCCGTTCGTGGTCAGCATGTTCTGCTCCTTTGAGACCAGAAGACACCTGTGTATGGTCATGGAGTATGTGGAGGGTGAGACGCAGCATAGTATCATTCTAGAACAGGGGTGGGCAAATTTGGTCCTGGAGGGCCGGTGTCCTGCATAGTTTAGCTGCAACACTAATCAAACACACCTGAACATAGTGTTTTCAAGATCACTAGAAATCTATTAAGCAGGTGTGTGTGATTAGAGTTGGAGCTCCACCGGCCCTCCAGGAACGAGTTTGCCCAGCCCTGTTCTAGAAACTATTCCAAACACCCCAGCAACTGCATAGCAACATTCTAAAAAGTGTTCTGAGCACCTTAGTAACCACAAAGCAACATTCTAAATCAGTACCAAACACCTCAGCAACCACATAACAACATTCTAAAAACTGTTCCAAACATCTTAGCAACCACAAATTGTGACAACATTCTTAAAATGTTATAAACACCTTAGCAACCACATAGCAATATTTTTAAAAGGGTTCTAAACACCTTAGCAACCACATAGCAACATTCTAAAACAGTTCTTAACACCATAGCCACCACATAGAAACATTCTAAAAAGTGTTCCAAACACCTTAGCAACCGCACAGTAACATTCTAAAAAGTGTTCTAAACACCTTAGCAACTGCATAGTACCATTGTAAAAAGTGTTCCAAACATCTTAGCAACCGCATAATAACATTTAAATGTTCCAAACACCTTAGCAACCACATAGCAACATTGTAAAAATTGCTCTAAACACTATAGCAACCACATTTTAACAATTCTAAAAAGTGTTGCAAACACCTTAGCAACCACATAGTAGCGTTCTAAAAAGTGTTCTAAACACCTCAGCAACCACATAGTAATGTTCTAAAAAGTGTTCCAAACACCTTAGCAACTGCATAGTAACATTCTAAAAAGTGTTCCAAACACATTAGCAACCACATAGTAACGTTCTAAAAAGTGTCCTAAACACCATAGCAACCACAGTGACAACATTCTAAAAAGTGTTCTAAACACCTTAGCAACTGCATAGTAACGTTCTAAAAAGTGTTCCAAACACCTTAGCAACCACATAGTAACGTTCTAAAAAGTGTTCCAAACACCTTAGCAACTGCATAGTAACATTCTAAAAAGTGTTCCAAACACCTTAGCAACCACATAGTAACGTTCTAAAAAGTGTTCTAAACACCTTAGCAACTGCATAGTAACGTTCTAAAAAGTGTTCCAAACACCTTAGCAACCACATAGTAACGTTCTAAAAAGTGTTCCAAACACCTTAGCAACTGCATAGTAACATTCTAAAAAGTGTTCCAAACACCTTAGCAACCACATAGTAACGTTCTAAAAAGTGTTCTAAACACCTTAGCAACTGCATAGTAACATTCTAAAAAGTGTTCTAAACACCTTAGCAACTGCATAGTAACATTCTAAAAAGTGTTCTAAACACCTTAGCAACCACATAGTAACGTTCTAAAAAGTGTTCCAAACACCTTAGCAACTGCATAGTAACGTTCTAAAAAGTGTTCTAAACACCTTAGCAACCACAGTGACAACATTCTAAAAAGTGTTTTGAACATCTTAGCAACCCCATAGCAATATTCTAAAAAGTGTTCCAAACACCCTAGCAACCACATATGAATGAGCCGAGATGTTGATGAGATTTATCTGTGTTTCTTCTTCAGGAGGTGATTGTGCCACACTGCTCAAAAACATCGGAGCGCTGCCTGTGGAAATGGCCCGTATGTACTTTGCAGAAACCGTCCTGGCTCTGGAGTACATCCACAACTATGGCATCGTGCATCGAGATCTCAAACCTGACAAGTAAGACGCCACCTAGTGGACGAGGACAGCAGAATATAGGTGTCGTCCTCCTGTGAAAGGAATATATGTTTCAAATATTTTCCAAGAGCTGTTTAACAGGGAGAAGCTTTTTGAACATAATAGTTTTAAAAGTTAATTTTCCATGTATATGAATACAAATGTCACATGAGGGCGAGTAATTTTGTCTTCTGAATGATTTTTGTTTAATGATAATGGCCGCGGGAATATAATTGATTAAATCACCATGCACAATTAATTAAAGGATTGCTGGGATTGGTTTCCCATCTGCTGGATGATAATGATGATGATGGTGATGATGACAGCACTTCCTGTGTGAGATTAGTGCGAATGGTTTCATTTGGACAGACTGTGTTATGTAATTAAACACATGACAGATGTGCCGTCTCAAATCCTCTCTCTCTTTCTCATCAGTCTGCTCATCACGTCAATGGGTCACATTAAACTCACCGATTTCGGTTTGTCCAAAATGGGCCTCATGAGTCTCACCACAAATTTGTATGAAGGACACATCGAGAAGGACACCAGGGAGTTCCTGGATAAACAGGTACGAGGAAAACACCGTTTACAAGTGTCACTGTCTGATGATGAAGCCTGTGTGCAACACGCTGATAACAATTACAAACACCTTAGCAACTGCATTTAAAGATGATGCACAGACACCTTAGTGCAGTGCTCCCCAACCTTTTTTTCACCGCGGACGGTTGTCAATTTTACAACGTAAAATTCGGGGGGGTTGGGGGGTCTTGACGTGAACACAGCTGCTGCGCTCGTGCATCCAGGTTAATCATGGACAACTCAGTGCGCATGTGCTAGTTGCACTATCGCGGTCTGATTATGTTTCAAACAAGTTTTATATGCATCAAATACATAACATCTGTGCCAAACATCTCAACTGACGAACATATTAACAATAATACAACTGTATAGCCGAATTAAATTAATGCATTGGCATGTTACAGCCCTAATGCGTATGATTATGTGAATAATCATACTCCATATAAATACATATTGCATTGATTTCGTGTACTTACTTAGCGATGCACGCACACATATATGTAGGGACGGCTGACGTGAAACTGACGTTTCGACACAGTTTCGAGATCCCAAAGTGCAAGCGTTTCGTAAGACTGCACCAAAGCATAATCCGAAGCACCCAAGTCACGTGACTAAAGTGTTTCCACACTCCTGGTCACATGACTACAGCGATTCAAAGCATGGATCAGCTTAAAAGCGTTTCGAGACCCGGCGAATCTTTATTTTGCCGCCAAGGTCGAAAAAATTCCCGTTTCATATGGCCTAGTGGACTGTAAGTATGCACGCTGATACTGTGCTTCGAATTACGTTTTGGGTTCGAATCCCGACTTGTACAAATACTCTGAAATCATGGTTTCGTGTATTTAATCATGTTTCTGTTTTGTGTAGCCTAAATAGGATACAGCTGCAGTTACGCCATCAATAAAGCATCATTTTTGTAACACTGTAAAACTATAATTAATAATTTTACAGTACTGTGATGGTTGGGTTTAGGGTTTGGGTAGACGTTAATAAAATACAATAAATGAGAAATTTAATGAATAATAAAAATAATTCTTGATAACTTCAGGCCACAGTTTTTGATCTAGCAACAACCCTGTTTTAAGACCAAAACAAGACATATTTATTCACAAATTGTTTATTCGGATATCAGACCAATGTTGAAACAAAACGATACAAGAGCAAAGCATTACCAACTGGTATTAAAGCATTTCAAAACGACATCAGCCTGGATTCTAACCCACTATCCCCACACGGTAGTCAAATACCTTAACCGCTCCACTATATTACCTGAAGGTTCAAGCATACAAAGTGGGATTTAATGCCTCAATTTGCTCAACTGTTCTTTGCTGAAGGTGTTTCAGTGCAATACATTAAAAAAATGACCACTAGGTGTCACTGTAGAGTGGGGTTTCGAAACGTTTCGAAGCTTCGACACATTTGCTTCGACTGTTTCAGTATTTTACGAAGCTTCGCTTTGCCCACCACTAATAACATCTGTGCCAAACATCTCAACTGACGAACATATTAACAATAGTACAACTGTATAGCCGAATTAAATGTATGCATTGGCATGTTACAGCCCTAATGTGTATGATTATGTGAAACTCCATATAGATACATATTGCAATTATTTCGGCTACTTACTTAGCGATGCACGCACACATAAATGCACAATCCTTAAATGTTTTGCTGATTTGGACTCTATAATACCTGTTTTATAACTTTAAACAATCAACAACCACCACTGCACTATATTCTAGCGATCGTTCTTCCCGCTCCGTGGTGGATTTTGGCATAGTACATTTCACGTGAGATGGCGGGGGTGAGTGGAAGAAACCAAGTCGCGGGGGGAATATTTTCTACAGAAATAATTTATGATTTCTTATGTGGCCCGGTACCAACTGTTCCACGGACCAGTACCGGTCCACGGCCTGGTGGTTGGGGACCACTGCCTTAGAGCATTATTTATTATTTAAATGTTCCTGAATCTGAATAACAGCTTGCTAAATAAAGTATTCCAACATGTTAGCAAACAGCTAAGACTGCTGAAAATGGCTTCAACTTGTATAACTTCAGTTGTACTACACATACCATGGTTAAACTATGTTTAGTGCTGCAAAACAGTGGTCAGTTTGTGGTAGCTATGGTCAACTATGGTAATAACAAACTGGCCATGGTTTTACAATGCTAGCCATAGCTTTTGTAGTACACATGTGGTTTGAAAGTGATTAAAAAGCATGGTTACTGCTTTACGACATTACAGAACCACATGGTGTCAAGCAATATACTGAAAACCATGCCAAAAAGTGTTGCTTTATTTAGCAACAAGCTTACAGGTATTTTTAACACCTTAGCAACTGTGTGAGAACGTATTAACAACTATTCCTATGAAATCAGTATAAACAAGATTATTTTAACATCGCTAGTCTCATTTTAGCACAGTTAAATCTTTATTTCATGAAGCAAGAATCATGTCAGTGCTTTTGAGTGGCTTGTCGTTTGCCCTTAGGTTTGTGGCACACCGGAGTACATCGCCCCTGAGGTGATCCTGCGGCAGGGCTATGGGAAGCCGGTGGACTGGTGGGCGATGGGCATCATCCTCTATGAGTTCCTGGTGGGCTGCGTGCCGTTCTTCGGCGACACTCCAGAGGAGCTGTTCGGTCAGGTGATCTCAGGTAAAGCTGTCAACTATTCCACATTTTATTTAATGACTATAAAAACAAAATGAAGTTCAAACATCATCTAACACCTTTATGCAGAAATGCACGTATACAGTACCGTATATTTGAATCGAGGCATCTATACTTCATCTACTGTGTGTGTTTTGTAGATGATATTGTGTGGCCCGAGGATGATGACGCACTTCCTCCGGACGCACAGCACCTGATCTCATCTTTACTTCAGACCAGCCCACTGCTCAGACTGGGCACAGGTGACCACAGACACACACACACACACACACACACACAACTGCAAACACAACATCCTAAAAACTGCTCCAAACACCTCAGCAACCACATAGCAACATTCAAAAGTGTTCCAAACACCTAAGCAACCGTGTAGCAACATTCTAAAGTGTTTCAAACACCTCAGCAACCACATAGCAACATTCTAAAATGTTCCAAACACCTCAACAACCAGATAGCAACATTCTAGTGTTCCAAACACCTAAGCAACATTTTAAGTGTTCCAAACACCTCAGCAACCACATTGCAACATTCTAAAGTGTTCCAAACACATCAGCAACTGCATGACAACATTCAAAAGTGTTTAAAACACCTCAGCAACCACCATAGCAACGTTCTAAACAGTGTTCCAAACACATCAGAAACTGCATGACAACATTCAAAAGTGTTTAAAACACCTCAGCAACCACATAGCAACGTTCTAAAAGTGTTACAAACACCTAAGCAACCGTGTAGCAACATTCTAAAATGTTCCAAACACTTTAGCGACATTCTAAGTGTTCCAAACACTTCAGCCACCACATAGCAACATTCTAAAATGTTCCAAACACCTCAACAACCACATAGCAACATTCTAAAGTGTTCCAAACACCTAAGCGACATTTTAAGTGTTTCAAACACTTTAGCAACCACCATAGCAACATTCTAAAGTGTTCCAAACACCTAAGATACATTTTAAGTGTTTCAAACACTTTAGCAACCACCATAGCAACATTCTAAAGTGTTCCAAACACCTAAGCGACATTTTAAGTGTTTCAAACACTTTAGCAACCACCATAGCAACATTCTAAAGTGTTCCAAACACCTCAGCAACCACATTGCAACATTCTAAAGTGTTCCAAACACATCAGCAACTGCATGACAACATTCAAAAGTGTTTAAAACACCTCAGCAACCACATAGCAACGTTCTAAAAGTGTTACAAACACCTAAGCAACCGTGTAGCAACATTCTAAAATGTTTCAAACACCTCAGCAACCACATAGCAACTTCTAAAAGTGTTACAAACACATTAGCAACTGCATAGCAGCATTCTAAAGTGTTCCAAACACCTCAGCAACCACATTGCAACATTCTAAAGTGTTCCAAACACCTTAGCGACATTCTAAGTGTTTCAAACACTTTAGCAACCACCATAGCAACGTTCTAAAGTGTTCCAAACACCTTAGCAACATTCAGAGTTCCAAACCCTTTAGCAATCGCATAGCAACATTCTAAAAAGTATTCCAAACACCTCAACAACTGCATGGCAACGTTCTAAATTTGTGCTCCAAACAACCCAGCAACCATTTAGCAATGTTCTTAAGTTTTTCAAATACCCTGCAGCCACAGATCAACATTTTAAAAACTGTTCTGAATTGCCCAAACATTGTCAAAATGCTTTTAACTGATGCGCAAAAATGTATACAAAATAAATAAAATAACAAAAGATATTGGAATTGTTGTTTAATGAACTTTAATTTTCAACTTGAATTGTGTCATTGAAGTCATCTGGTGTAATTTATTCATGTTGTCGTAGACATTGCAGAAAAACAAATCATCTCAATGTCCCCTTTTTTTTGTCAGGTCTACTCTAAACACCTTTAAAAACCAGCCAACAACAAAATATCTTCTAACAAGTACACAGTGAGCTCTAAAACACCTGAACAATCAGTTTCAATTGTGTGTTTGTGCATAGGCGGAGCATTTGAGGTGAAGCAGCATCCGTTCTTCGGCGATCTGGACTGGGGCAGTTTACTCCGCCAGAAAGCTGAGTTCATCCCAAACCTGGAGTCTGAAGAAGACACCAGCTACTTTGACAGTGAGTGACGCAGGGACTGTGTGTGTGTTTGTGTTGTTGTCTGTTAGAGTGTGTATTAGCGAGTAACTCTGTCTGTTTCAGCACGATCAGAGCGATATCATCACGTTCACTCGTACGATGAGGACGACACTAATGATGACGAGCCTGTGGAGATTCACCGCTTCTCCTCCTGCTCGCCACGATTCAGCAAGGTCAGTTTCTGATAAACACTTATGTTGTGGGATTGCTGAATGCTTGATTCTGATTGGCCGATGGATATGATTTTTAGGTAAGCACACAGTTAAAGTAGTTCCTGCAGGTTTCGAGCGCATTACAGCTCCATATCACTACGCTGAATGAGTTATTTCCAAGTGTGCCGCAAGCCTGTGTTTGAGTGAAGGTCTCGGCCGTTAGATCGCCCCCTGGGGGCTGGCTGCAGTACAAGTCATAAAGCCCGCCTCCTCTGTGTTAATGAAGGAGACTTGAGCCCAAATAAAAAAATTAATTACACTTGCAATAAACTGTCCCGAAAGATGGTTCTGGTCGATTAAGGCACTGATTATTGTGCTGAAATAGGTGCAGATCCTCATTTTTGTAAACAGTTTGTTTTTAGCAGTAATTTAATGCTGGGCGTGTCATCGTGATTGACAGCTGTGATTGACAGTTTCTCAAAGCAGCGCGTCTGAGCTTCGGCAGGAGACTGAAATGTTATTATTCGATTTCTGTGTTATTTTACCATGACAAAATGAGTTCAGCAGTAAACTACAGTTTCTGACATACATGATCCTGGTGGAACACTGTTTATTCGCTAAGGTCAGGGCTTTTTTCGGGCTTTATTAGTTTGCTGATACACGCCTAAACACCCAGATAGCAAAATACACTCGGGCCAGTTCCGGCTAGATTCTCGCCTGCCGGAGACTTACCCCTCAGAGCTCAGACTGACTAATGTTACCTCTGCTGGACCTACTCCGGATGCCTGGACTCACTGCCCGATTCCAGCCCGAGTCAATCGAGCCAGATGCGGCGGCCGAGCGAGCCGGCGTTGCCGCATGCAAGCCGGAATCAGCCCGTGACGCCGCGAGTAGGATATGTGCGCTGCTGCCCGGAGCTGTCGCGATTGAATATATAAAACCTTCATATTTGTTACTGTTATTACATCCATCTGTGTTGATATGACAGCAAACGCATGCTGAGAAGTTCGGGGGCGTGGTTGATTTTACATAAAGCGTTTGGCTCCTCCTCTGGCTCCATCAGACAATCCTTCTGCGCATGTCAAGGCTCCAATTTCAGCAGTCTTTTGCGACAGTTTGTGCCCGTCAAGCAGGCGTTTTGCCCTCAAGGCGTTCAATGGGAAAAGGGGCTGTCGCGTCGTCCATATTTTTTACAGTCATTGGTTATTTCACATAAACAACAGTCACCTTACTAGTACCGGGTTGGACCCCCTTTTGCCTTCAGAACTGCCTTAATCCTGGCATAGATTCAACAAGAAAATACTAGAAATATTCCTTAGAGATTTTGCTCCATATTGACATGATAGCATCACATTTATATATATGTATATATACATACATACATCCATGCATGCATATATATATATATATATATATATATATATATATATATATATATATATATTTATTTATATGTATATATGTGATGCTATCATGTCAATATGGAGCAAAATCTCTGAGGAATATTTTATATAAATATTAGCTAATTAGCAATACAAATTCAACATAGATCCATATTCAGTCAATATTCTGTTAATTTCTGTGTAAAATAAAAACTAATGATATTTATAATAACTTATATATACCAAATGTATTTTAAGCCACAATAAAAACATGAAAAGGTATGAAAAAAATTATGAAAAATGTAGCGTACGCTGAAAGCATATGCCATTTATAATGCATAAAGTCAGTTTGACAATTATGTCTATTTTAGTGAACTACCCAAAACTAACTACCCGTTCATGTTGTGGTATTTTGATCAAGTAACTATGTTAGTATAACTTAATCGTATCCTTAAGTAAAGTCAGGATACTTCAGGTCATTATTATTATATTCTGGCACTCAAGTAAATGTGTTTGGATCGCAGGTGTACAGCAGCATGGAGCATCTGTCCCAGCTGGAGCACAAACCTGTGGTGACCCGCCGAGAGCCCAAACCTCACAGAGAAGACCGGGCCAAGAGAGAGAGCATGGGCAGCCTGACCCTCCGAGACAAGACCTGGAGAACCGGATCCCCAGAGATGTAAGACAACGACAAAACAACCTCACCGAATAACCCAACAACATGTTAGCAAACTGATAGTAGCATTGTTTAGTATAGTACTTGAGAACACCCAAAACACACACATTTAAAAGATCACTTTGGGTTCTTTTGGAAATAGTATAATTTTACAGCTCCCTTAGAGTTAAGCAAAATGATAGATTAAATAGTTTTTATGTGTTTTTAGCTTAGCTTAGCATAAATCATTGATTTGGATTAGACCATTAGCATCTCAGAAATGACCAGAGTATTGATAATTTTCCTATTTACAGCTTGACTACTTTAGTTACATGGTGTACTAAGACTATGCCTGCAGCAGGCGCGGTGATATTAGACAGCACCTGAATGTAGTCAACAAAGCTCAAAGAGAGTAAAGTATAACAAAATGGGAGTATAGTTCCTAGCCATATCAGAAACGTTTTATTTTCCTTCTATTTCAGCTGTCTCTTTTTATTTTACTTTACATTTTTCCACTTTTTAAACCAATCAGACGATCTCCAGGTCTGGCGGGAGCACTTTTAGCTTAGCTTAGCATAAATCATTGAATCAGATTAGACCATTAGCATCTCAATCAAAGAGTTTCGATAATTTTTTCTATTTAAAGCTTGAGTTGCATTGTGTGCTAAGATCAACAGAAAAGAAAAAGTTGCTATTTTTAGTCAATATGACTAGGAACTCTCATTCTGGTGTAATAATCAAGGAGCTTTGACTATTTTCAGGCGCTGTCTACTATTATTGCACCTGCTGCAGTCATAGTCTCAGGGTGCTTTCACATCTGTAGTTTGCTTCATTTGGTCCAGACTAAGGGCAATAAATGATACATTGTTGCATTTTCTGGCGTCTTTGGGTTGTTTTCACACCACACTGCTGGCTTTGGTCCGAAGCAGTTGAAAAGAACCAAAATGCTGTCATGTGACAAAATCCACATCTCTCATTGGCCAGATGTTGTTGAACATAGTTCCTAAACTGCTTATTGATTGGCATTTTCCCCGCACGTGAATTCTGACCAATGAACTCAATACTCTTTGGTCATTTCTGAAATGCTAATGGTCTAATCCGAGTCAGTGATTTATGCTAAGCTAAAAACATTTAAAAACCATTTAATTTACCGTTTTGTAAGTGTACAACCACTCTGGAGTAGATTTTATAACGGCATGACAATTCAATGGAAGTGTTTGAGCTGAAAGTCCCTGTGCATATACTCCATTATTGACTGACACTGATTACACCTCTGCTGCTCTTCCTTGTGTTTCTCTATAGGAAGCGTCTGTCGTGTTCGGAGTCGTCCTTCACCGAATCAGACTCCAGTCCTCCCGGAGCTCGCCGCCGTTTCTCAGCGCTGATGGACACACACCGCTTCGCTTCTCCACTGGAGGGAGACAGTGACACACACACACGCCAGCCGCCCGTCAAAACCAGAGGGACGTCACTAGAGGGCGCCAGTGTTCCCGTCAGTTCCGGACTGTTTGAGTCCAGCTCTGCCGTGTCAGTGGGACATCCTGGAGGTCATTCAGTTTACATAATACAACATTGCGTTGTTGTTTGAGGGATTCGATTTAATAATTTATTTGTTTATCTTTTCATATAATTACTTTTATTAGTAGTATTTACCTTTATTTTAACCGTTATTATTATTTATTTTTATTTACTATTATTATACTTTGCTTGGTCTGGTTTAATCATGTGATCTGCTTATTTATCATATGAGCAGGGCCGGTGCGTCCATAGAGGCGACCTAGGCGGCCGCCTAGGGCAGCAGTATAGAGAGGGCGGCGTCTGCTACACCTCCCTTACCACCTGCGTCCTCAGTTATGTCCGCGACACCTCCCCCGCGTCCTCAGATATATTCGCGCATAGACGATAGAATAGAGAGGGCGACGTCAGCGTCACCTCCATCAGCACCCGCGTGACCTCAGTTATATCCGCGCATAGGGCGGCAGAATTGAGGTCCGCGACACCCGCGTGTCCTCAGTTATATCCGCGCATAGGGCGGCAAGATAAAGAGCGCTGTGTCCGCCACACCTCACTCTCTCAGCACCCGCGCGTCTTCAGTTATATCCGCGCATAGGGCGGCAAGATAAAGATCGATGTGTCCGCGACACCTCACTCTCTCAGCACCCGCGCGTCCTCAGTTATATCCACGCATAGGGCGGCAGAATAAAGAGCGCAGTGTCCGCGACACCTTCCTCCCTCAGCACCCGCGCATCCTCAGTTATATCCGCACATAGGGCGGCAGAATAAAGAGCGCAGTGTCCGCGACACCTCCCTCCCTCAGCACCCGCGCATCCTCAGTTATATCCGCACATAGGGCGGCAGAATAAAGAGCGCTGTGTCCGCGACACCTTCCTCCCTCAGCACCCGCGCATCCTCAGTTATATCCGCACATAGGGCGGCAGAATAAAGAGCGCTGTGTCCGCGACACCTCCCTCTCTCAGCACCCGCGCATCCTCAGTTATATCCGCACATAGGGCGGCAGAATAAAGAGCGCTGTGTCCGCGACACCTTCCTCTCTCAGCACCCGCGCATCCTCAGTTATATCCACGCATAGGGCGGCAGAATAAAGAGCGCAGTGTCCGTGACACCTCCCTCTCTCAGCACCCGCGCATCCTCAGTTATATCCGCACATAGGGCGGCAGAATAAAGAGCGCAGTGTCCGTGACACCTCCCTCCCTCAGCACCCGCGCGTCCTCAGTTATATCCGCACATAGGGCGGCAGGATAAAGAGCGCAGTGTCCGCGACACCTCCCTCTCTCAGCACCCGCGCGTCCTCAGTTATATCCGCGCATAGGGCGGCAGAATAAAGAGCGCAGTGTCCGCGACACCTCCCTCCCTCAGCACCCGCGCGTCCTCAGTTATATCCACGCATAGGGCGGCAGAATAAAGAGTGCAGTGTCCGCGACACCTCCCTCTCTCAGCACCCGCGCGTCCTCAGTTATATCCGCGCATAGGGCGGCAGGATAAAGAGCGCAGTGTCCGCGACACCTCCCTCTCTCAGCACCCGCGCGTCCTCAGTTATATCCACGCATAGGGCGGCAGAATAAAGAGCGCAGTGTCCGCGACACCTCCCTCTCTCAGCACCCGCGCGTCCTCAGTTATATCCGCGCATAGGGCGGCAGGATAAAGAGCGCAGTGTCCGCGACACCTCCCTCTCTCAGCACCCGCGCGTCCTCAGTTATATCCACGCATAGGGCGGCAGAATAAAGAGCGCAGTGTCCGCGACACCTCCCTCTCTCAGCACCCGCGCGTCCTCAGTTATATCCACGCATAGGGCGGCAGAATAAAGAGCGCAGTGTCCGCGACACCTCCCTCTCTCAGCACCCGCGCGTCCTCAGTTATATCCGCGCATAGGGCGGCAGGATAAAGAGCGCAGTGTCCGCGACACCTCCCTCTCTCAGCACCCGCGCGTCCTCAGTTATATCCACGCATAGGGCGGCAGAATAAAGAGCGCAGTGTCCGCGACACCTCCCTCTCTCAGCACCCGCGCGTCCTCAGTTATATCCGCGCATAGGGCGGCAGGATAAAGAGCGCAGTGTCCGCGACACCTCCCTCTCTCAGCACCCGCGCGTCCTCAGTTATATCCGCGCATAGAGCGCCGGAAAAGAGGTCCGCGACACCTCACTTCATTTTCATAACCGGTCACTTTCGTTTTCACATTGGGGTTGAGGGCGGCGTGATCGTCCTCTGCCTAGAGCGGCAGTTCAGCTTGCTCCAGCCCTGCATATGACCTACAGTTAATATGGCTGCCAGTTTCTTCGCTTGTCAACATTGCTAGCATGGCATTGACCGTGGTCAACGTGTGACCGAAACATTTACCTTTTTTTTTTTTTTAGTAAATTGCTTGTCATTTCATCTCGCTTGTTGATTTTCGGAAGTTTTTCAGCTCACTTTTTCCCCAGAGGAGTCGAAACTCCCATTAATCTCGTGTGATCTTTCTGCTTCTCAGACAAGCTTCTGCGTCCCGCTGAAGGTCCATCAGCTCCTCTGCACATGCCGGAGCCCTTCAGTGCACGAGTAGGAAGTGACCTCGTCTTACGAAGAGCACGACATCATCAGATACCGAGCGACAGTGAGAAACGAACCGCCACTCGCTCCGGCACAAAAGTCATCAAGTCGGCCTCCGCCACGGCGCTGTCTGTCATTATACCTGCAGGTGAGACTTTAGATTCTACTTTATAACCATTACAAATATCAACAAACAGTAACATTAAATTAAATTAATTAATAGTGACACAGTAAAGTGGACACTGGACACCTTAAAATAAAATCTAACTCTTGTTTTTGGCCTGTAAGCTTTCGTAATATTACTGTTTCTTCATTTTGTCGTTAGTTGAGCAGCATGGTACGTCTCCGCTGGCCAGTCCCATGTCTCCTCGATCCGTCTCATCCAATCCCTCGTCTCGTGACTCATCTCCGAGTCGTGATTATTCGCCTACGGTCAATGTCCTGCGCTCACCGATCACCATCCATCGCTCTGGGAAGAAGTACGGCTTCACTCTGCGAGCCATCAGAGTCTACATGGGCGACAGTCACGTGTATAGCGTACATCACATGGTCTGGGTACGAACGCATTCTGAAATACTAGTTTCACGTTTTCTTATTCGTATATTGCGCTGCATGTAATTGACATTTCTCCAATCACAGCATGTAGAATGTGGTGGGCCGGCCCAGGAGGCGGGGCTTTGTGCTGGTGACCTCATCACACATGTGAATGGAGAGCCTGTGCACGGATTGGTGCACACAGAGGTGGTGGAGCTCATTCTGAAGGTACGGCGTTCACAAACACACCTGTTGCTCGATGTTATTGATATTACACGATCTCATTGTAAGCAGACTTACAAGTCCGGATAAAAGAAGTACTTCTAATCATCAGAGAGTTGCGGTTATTATTTAAGGTCTGGTGAAATGTGCAATTTTTTATTCAATGTTTGACATAATCCCAACTGAAAAATGAAGAGAGGGCGGGACATAGAGTAGCCCCTCCCCTTTTACAAAAACAGCCAATAGTGTTTAGTTTTTCTCACAGCTCTGCCAGAGTGGTTGAGCTCAAGTGCATCAAATGAAGAGCCAATGAGAAGAAGGGGGCGGGGCATGTCAGAAACTGGAGAGCATTTGATTGGTCAGAAGATTTGATGAGAAATTAAAGTAGGAGGTGACGTGCAAAAAAATTGTTGATCCATTTAGGTAGAACTGACAAACTACAAGCTTTCTAAACACTAATTTTATCACGGTTTTGGAGCGCACTAGCTTATAGAAATCCTTAAAACTAACAACTAAAAAAAAATATTTTAAATTCAAGAGACCTTTAATAAAATGCATGTTTTTAGGACTGTTTTTAATTTGTGATATCTTTTTTATTCTTACTGTTTTTTTTGTTCTACTGTGCTTAGAAAAGCGCGTTATAAATAAAATGTATTATTATTATTATTATTGTCATCATCATCATCATTATTTCTTTTTCTCTGAGCATATGGAGAGGAAGAGAGTGTGTCCTACAGGTGGTTTGTCAAGTCCACTCACCTGTGTGGAGCACACTCAGAATTGAACAATGTTTTTTAAATAGCATAGGGTGCTTATTAGAAGTTGTCTGGTGCATATGGAGAGGAAAAGAGTGTGTGACCTATTTCAATGCTGTCGTTGACCATTCATTGCTTTGGATTTTCAGAGTGGCAGCAAAGTAACAGTGACGACTACTCCGTTCGAAAACACCTCCATAAAGATTGGTCCCGCCAGGAAGCTGAGCTACAAAGCCAAGATGGCCAGACGCAACAAGAAATCAGCAGCAAAAGATGGACAAGAGAGGTCAGAAACTGGGAATGCCTTTACATCATGGGTCAAACTCAGCTCCTGGAGGGCCGCAGATCCGCACAGTTTTGCTCCAACCCTAATCAAACACAGCTGATCCAAATAATCAAGGTGTCTTGAACACCTTCATTAGTTGCATCAGCTGTGCCCTTCCAGCGGCAACCCATCACTGGGAAACACCCATACACTCTCATTCACAGACACATACACTATGGACAACTTAGCTTACCTATAGCGCATATCTTTGGATTTGTGGGGGAAACCGGAGCACATGCAAACTCCACACAGAAATGCCAACTGACCCAGCCAAGGCTCTAACCAGCGACCTTCTTGCTTTGAGGCGATTGTGCTACCCACTGCCCCACCGTGACGCCCTATAGAGAATATGGGTCAGTGACAAAACAGGTTTGGCAAGATGGGAAATTTAAAAATCTTTTACAAAGTTGATTTAAAAGCATCCGTCAGATATTTTAAAATGTACAGATTGTATTCATGTTGATTTTATGTAATTAAAAATAACATTTACACCATTTTTTACAGACATTAAGACTGAATGCAACTGAAAATGTCAAATGGTGTAACTGCCAAAAATTGTGAAATATTAAATAATTTACTCCTCCTAGATGATATGCAAGTGTACACACTGAAATAAATACTTCATTTTAAAATACCACAATAACATTTATTGTATTCGCATTATCTCTAAATGTACATTTTAATGAGTTTTTGCAATATTCGGCCAGACACATGCTAAAAACACTTCTGGTTTCTAAATAATCTTTGACAAATTATGTAAAAAATGTTAAAAACTATTTTATTACACAAAACTAAGTGTTTTAATTTTAATTTCACATTATTTCCATGTACATAATTATATTTTTATGTAAAATACTGGTTACACCAATTGACAAAAACCAGTTACACCACCTGACAGTGTTGCTTCTACAGCCAAAGATTTTGAAATAGACAATTAAAATCAATTCAAATTAAGAATGAAAGTCAACAATTTCAGTGGGATTGTCATTGACAAATGTGTTTAGAACAATGAAACCAGGTTGCTGAACTTTAATACACCAAGTAATAACATCCTTTACATTAAATGTGTGGCCCTCATCAATAGAATATTAACAAACTAAAGAAACATGTTTAACATTTAACACCTTTTCCATCACTGTTTCTTTTCAGTTGGCTTAATTAAAATAAAAATAAGTAGATGATATTAGAAAAAAATCCACTATTTTACTTTTAAGCTATTTAGAAACAATTTGCCAAACACTGTACGTAAATCACTAGTACGTAAGAACTGCTGCTTACTCGTTGTTGCCTTGGTGCTGGGATTAAAGGCCAATTTTTGTAAGCATACACGACTGACTGACAACAAATAATTTCATGAGTGTATCCACAACTTATCCACAAACTATTTATTTTATACAGTTAACTTCAGAATTATGCAGAATTATTATTAGTCCCCCTGAGCTATTAGCTCCCCTGTTATTTTTTCCCCAATTTCGGTTTAACAGAGAGAAGGTTTTTTCAACACATTTTCAACACATAATAGTTTTAATAACTCATCTCTAATAACTGATTTATTTTCTCTTTGCCATGATGACAGTAAATAATATTAGACTAGATATTCTTCAAGACACTTCTATACAGCTTAAAGTAGCATTTAAAGGCTTAATTAGGTTAACTAGGCAGGTTAGAGTAATTAGATAAGTTATTGTATATCCATGGTTTGTTCTGTAGACTATCGCGGGGAAAAAGCTTAAAAGGGCCAATAATTTTTACCTCAAAATGGCTTTTAAAAATTGCTTTTATTCTAGCCTAAATAAAACAAATAAGACTTTCTCCAGAAGAAAATTTTTTATCAGACATGCTGTAAAAAAACCCAAACAAAACTGATTTCAACTGCAATTCATTTGTTTAGCAACTTCTGACTTGTTCTTCACAACTTTTCATCATTAAAGTTCCTCCGAGTCACCTCCAGTTGTTAATAATAATAGTACAACAGCAAGCGCATCAAGTATGAAAACCTCCAAAACTTAAGGCTGTGTGCACTCAGTCTATAGAGGCTTGTCAACCTTGTTTCATTTCCCATGTTAATTTTTTCTTTTATTTAAAAAAGAAATTCCCAAGTTCTCTTTAACAGAGAGAATATTATTGTCAACACATTTCTAAACAAAATAGTTTAAATGACTAAATTCTGATAACTGATTTCTTCCGTAATCTTTGCCATGATGACAGCACATAATATTTGACTAGATAATTTGTAAGACATTAGTATTCAGCCTAAAGTGACATTTAAAAATATAATTAGGTTAATTAGGCAAGTAAGATCTATTGGCCAAGTCATTGGGTAACTGTGGTTTGTTCTGTATTTAAGAAGGCTAACAATATTGACCTTAAAAACTGCTTAAACATTTTAAAAACTGCTTTTATTCTATCCAAACTAAAAGAAATAAGACTTTCTCAAGAAGAAAAAAAATACTTACAACATTTCAAAGGAGGGTGATACAGTGGCTAATGGTTAGCACAGTTGTCTCACAGCAAGAAGGTTGCTGGTTTGAGTCCAAGATGGACCAGGATGGCTTACTGTGTGGAGTTGACATGGGTTTCCTCTGGGAGCTCCAGTTTCCCCCACAGTCCAAAGACTTGCGGTATAGGTGAATTAGAAAAACTAAATTGACTGTAGTGTATGAATGTGTGTGTGAATGAGAGAGTGTGTACATTATATTGTGTGAATATAAACATGGATTAACATAAACAAAAAAAAAACATTCATGTTGTGCAGTAAAATAATTTTATCCTATGTTTACAGAGCTTTAATAGTAAGGTTGTGGATTAAGCACCTATTTCTCAAACAAAAATAAATAAATAATCTACACTATGAACACAAATAGTAGTTTAATTTATGTCGCATTTTTGATCAGCATCATGAACTAATGATATTTGACTAAATTGACCCCTGACAGAAAGACTCCTGCTATACGAGTCAAATGGTGTAACCAGTTACACCCCTTGACATTTCAATTTAAAATGAAATTTGACAGGCATTATCAATAACATCTATGTAAGCACATGGGCTTGGTGGGAATATTTCAAATTTAACTTTTAAATATAATACTTATTTTTATAATTATGAACAATTATCAGTGCATTTCTGGGGTCTTACCATTTGACATGCATATCTAAGAATAGCTGACCATACCTTAAAAAGGTCAAAGTATCTCACATTTTAAAAAGAGTTACTAACCTTTGCATGCAGCAATTAGTCTTATCAAGAGTTCTTCTCTGTGATTCAATTTCCTGTCTAACTGTCTTGTGCACAATATTAACAAAATGGCTCAATAAATGGTGGTTACACCATCTTGACATTTCAGAAATTTGAGGTGACAGAAAAAATTCCCCAAATGAATTATAATATTTAAAACAATTGTGCTATATTTACCTTTATTTACTATTAAATATGTCTAATGTAAAATTATGCCAGACTAGCCGATACAATGTTTCATTGAGGCTTTCACTTTTTTTAAACAAGGTAAACTATTTGGTACCAATTTTTTTTGGTTACACCACATTGACATTCTTGCAATAATCCCCTAAAAATTTTCTTAAAATGGATTAAAACCAAAAAATTAAACTTGGTCCTCAAAATAGAGAATGTATGCAAGTAATTTGCTTATTTATTTTGAAACTGTAACCTACTTGAATTTATTTAAAAGACATGGACACAAAAAAATGAGCGTCACGTCATTGACCCATATGCTGTTGGTTATAAACCTGTCCTTGATGTGTTTGACTGTAAAATCGCATCTGTATGTACTTAGGGGTCAGATTTTCCCATTAATAAAACCAATATTATTTTTGCTTATAATTATTTAATTTCAGTTTTTGTGAATTTTTTTATTTATTGTGAATCTTTATTTAACGAATAGTTTTAGTCTTAGTGTTTGTTTATTTAAATAACCTTTATTGTTCTCTCTCTGTCTGTCCGCAGTAAGAAACGCAGCTCTCTCTTTCGTAAGATCACTAAGCAGTCAAACCTTCTTCACACCAGTCGTAGTCTGTCTTCTCTGAATCGCTCGCTGTCGTCTGGAGACAGTCTGCCTGGATCTCCCACACATAACCTGTCTGCCCGCTCTCCGACACAGACGTACCGCTCTCCGCCAGACTCCACCTACCTCGGTCAGAGCTCCTCCCACTCTCACACACTTTATGTATCATATGTTAATGACTTGCATGTACCTGTATATACGCCAGGATATCCTGAAAATGATGTGTCTCGTGTAGAATTCAAAGTTTGTCAATGTCTTGCTTGTTGCTGGAAGCGTCTGTTTTTACATAGATGCACTGTAACGAGTATGATTTGGGCCTTTGAGTTTCTGTGTGGTAAAAATTACTTTCTAAAGAACAAAAGAGAAACTTTTGCCTTTTAATACTACATTTTAATCAAAGTTTGACGCCTCACAGTATGACCTTGAGTGATATTTGACCTACTGAAGATGACATTTATATTAAATATGATTCTTCTTTCCTTTCCATCTGACTTGCGCTGAACTGAACTTAATTAGCCTTTGATATTTGGCTTCAGTCTGTATTTGCGTGATCCTTGTGTGCCCTTTTCCTGTTTCTTTGAGGTTCTGACTTGCTCTATTTTTATCCACTTAGGCACGTCATCCCAGAGCAGCTCTCCCGCATCCAGCACACCAAACTCGCCTGCTACATCTCAGCACATGCGTCCAAGCTCTCTTTATGGCCTCTCACCCAAACTCCACCGCCAGTATCGTTCTGCACGCTGCAAATCTGCCGGGAATATTCCTCTGTCCCCATTGGCTCACACACCATCCCCGACTTCGTCCTCTCCACCACCCATAGCGGGACACATCGTTGGCAGCTCCAACACCACCCAGGCCTTCCCTGCAAAGCTTCACGCCTCCCCTCCAATAACACGTCCACGACCTAAAAGTGCAGAACCACCCCGTTCCCCTCTTCTCCAAAGGGTGCAGTCCGCCGAGAAGCTCGGTCCACCTTCTCCGCCATCCTCGTCATCTTCTGATAGGAAGGGAGGGCTTGGCATTAGAAAGCATGGTTTGGATGTTGTGCATGCCGAATACCGCCGGGAGTCCTTCCACTGCGAGCATGCCCTCCAGAGCTTGATGGAGATAGAAGGAGAAAACACGCCCAGTGCTCTACCCTCTCCACCTGATCAAACGCCAACGCACATGCCCATCAAGCACACGTTGAGTCCAGCAAGGCAACTCGGGAGGCAAGACTCAATCATGGATAGAGAGTTTGAAGGGAAATCGAAGCAGGCTGACTCAAGCGAAGCAATTTTGAAGACTGCATCAAAAACTGAACCAGTAGCAATCATTGTAGATCTTAAATCAACCCCGTTGGGTGAAACAACCCAGAGGGATAAAGTAGCCTCTAAGTTTGAGTCTTCCCAAGTTTCAGTTGCCTCAATGGGGAAGGTTGTAGCCAAGGATGTGGGAAAGATTGAATCTTCTAGTACTTTGGTAACTGGCCCCAAGATCCCAGATTGGACGCCAATTGTCCAGAGCTCTGGAGTACAGGAACTCAAACCTCATCAAACCGAGAGTCCTAAAGGGCTGGAGAATGGCAAAGACATTGGAAAGATCCCAGTGAAAGAGAAAACCCAATTGACAAAGACTCCAGAGGCAAGCAAGTCAAGTAAAGGACCTTTAAATGTTGAGGGGACTGGATCTGGTTCTATTGGTACACCTAAAGTCTCAGAAGCAGTTCCAAGCCAGTCTAAGAGCATTCAGGAACGGGCTCAAACTCCATCAGGGTCAACTCGAGGCCCTCAGGAGGAAAGATGTCGCCTCGAAGCAGTCGAAGTCTCTCCTCCCTCTCCATCTCCAATTGCTAGGTCACCTTGCACAAGCAAGTCAAGGGCCATTTCTCCTGGTGACCGGTCCAGTTTTGTGACCCAGCTGACCAGTGTGGCTAAAACTGTGCTTGGGCCAATGAAATTGGGCTCCCAGGATGGGGGGAAGGCCAAAGACAGCTCCAAGACAAATGAGGACAAACGAGCCGCCACATTGGGAAAGTCCGAGGCCTCATCTGGGGGTCGCCGAGGATTGACGGGAACTTGGCCTGGCCCTGGATCATCATCAAAGCCTGAAAAGGCATCAAAGAGCTCTTCCAAGCATTCATAATATTCTCACTGAAATATACTATTGGGAACTTTGAATGGCATGCATTGCCAGTAGTTGTCCAAATGCAGACCAAGTTCAAAAGACTCTACAGCCATCAAACCAAGATATCTACGAGAAAAAAAAATCGTAAACAAGAAAAGGTGCTTCAAAATGATCGTTGTCAAACATGTTTGTTTGTGCATATGCCATAAATATATATGCACCATCATATGTGGATGTAGACACAAAAAAACAGTATAGCTCCGTCCGAAATCGCATACTTCCCTACTATATAATATGTCAAAAATAGTGCCCAAGCCGAGTAGCATGTCTGAATTTATAGTATTGGAAAAACAATACGTGAGATGTACCTGGATGACCTAGTACTTTTGGTGAGATTATGAAGTGTGCTTCCAATGGACACTTAACTTTCCCTTGAGGCTATGCGAGAGAATTTATGAATGGGAGGGAAGCGACGCAACTGACATTAATAGGTCATGTGATAATGATACGATGCAGTACGTCTGAATTCCATTCATACTACTCACATTCATACTGTATTGAACACACTTTTCTTAGAGTTGTGAAGCTCAAATTCAAATGTATCACCTACACTAGTACTATGCGATTTCGGATGCAGCTCATGTCTTTAGATGCATGTTATATGTATATTGTGAATAGAAGAGTCAAAAAATAAGATATGAAAAATGAAGACCTAATGCTAGTGAACACTGCACATCCAATCATTCCTGCCCGCTCTATAGAGGGCATGACCTGTCAGCCATCACCATATCAATCAATCGATTTGTCAGATTTAGATGTGAGAAGTAGTTAAACTGTTTACCTAGTGACCGACACGATAGATCCAAACAGTCTCATTCCAGTACCTCAGCTATACTGTTAAACTGCCAACAGTAGCACGATACTAGAAACGATGGAATGTTTGGGAGTGTTTAACTAGCGGAAATGGGAAATAATTGTTGCACAAGGATAAAACCATGTGTATATATGCTCGTTTATCCTGTCTTAATTACATTTGCACTGGAAACGCCCAGCAAAAGTCAACATGAAGTGTACATTTTTTACTTTTTTTAATGTGCGCACTTCCACAATTCATCAGTGCAAAGCTTTTACAGATAGCACCACCTTGGCCATGCAAATTGTTTACCCAAAAGACCTCAATCAGGGTAGCTAGCACCATTAGTCCTAAAGGGCTGGAGAATGGCAAAGACATTGGAAAGACCCCAGTGAAAGAGAAAATCCAATTGACAAAGACTCCAGAGGCAAGCAAGTCAAGTAAAGGACCTTTAAATGTTGAAGGGACTAGATCTGGTTCTATTGGTACACCTAAAATCTCTGAAGCTGTTCCAAGCCAGTCCAAAAGCATTCAAGAATGGGCTCAAACTCCATCAGGGTCAACGAGGCCCTAAAGAGGAAAGTTGTCGCCTCGAAGCAGTCGAAGGCTTTCCAGCCTCTCCATCTTCAACTGCTAGTTCACCTTGTACAAGCAAATCATGCGCCATTTCTCCTGGCGACAGGTCCAGCTTTGTGACCCAGCTGACCAGTGTGGTTAAAACTGTGCTTGGGCCAATGAAATTGGGCTCCCAGGATGGGGGGAAGGCCAAGGACAGCTCTAAGACAAATGAGGACAAACGAGCCACCACATTGGGAAAGTCTGAGGCCTCAATTGGGGGTCGCCGAGGATTGAACTTGGCCTGGCCCTGGATCATCATCAAAGCCTAAGAAAGGCATCAAAGAACTTTCCAAGCATTCATAATATTCTCAATCCACACAATTCATCAGTGCAAAGCTTTTTCAGATAGCACCACTTTGGCCGTGCAAATTATTTAACTTAAAGACCTCAATCAGGGTAGCTAGCACCATTAGTCCTAAAGGAATGGAGAATAGCAAAGACATTGGAAAGAGCCCAGTGAAAGAGAAAACCTAATTGACAAAGACTCCAGAGGCAAGCAAGTCAAGTAAAGGACCTTTAAATGTTGAGGGGACTTGATCTGGTATTAATGTTACACCTAAAATCTCAGAAGCAGTTCCAAGGCAATCTAAAAGCATTTAAGACTGGGCTCAAACTCCATCAGGGTCTACTCCAGGCCCTCAAGAGGAAAGATGTCGCCTCAGTCAAAGACTCTCCAGCCTCTCCATCTCCAACTGCTAGGTCACCTTGCACAAGCAAATCATGCGCCATTTCTCCTGGTGACCGGAGCAGCTTTGTGACCCAGCTGACCAGTGTGGCTAAAACTGTGCTTGGGCCAATGAAATTGGGCTTCCATGATGGCGGGAAGGCCAAGGACAGCTCCAAGACAAATGAGGACAAACAAGCTGCCACATTGGGAAAGTCTGAGGGTTCATCTGGTGGTCACCAAGTATTGACGGGAACTTGGCCTGGCCCTGGATCATCATCAAAGCCTGAAAAGAGCTCTTCCAAGCATTCATAATATTCTCACTCCACACAATTCATCAATGCAAAGCTTTTTCAGATAGCACCACCTTGGCTGTGCAATTTAACCAAAAGACCTCAATCAGGGTAGCTAGCACCATTAGTCCTAAAGGGCTGGAGAATGGCAAAGACATTGGAGAGACCACAGTGAAAGAGAAAACCCAATTGACAGACTCCAAAGCATTCAAGAACGGGCTTAAACTCCATCAGGGTCAACTCGAGGCCCTCAAAAGGAAAGATGTCGCCTCGAAGCAGTCGGAAGACTCTCCATCTCCAACTGCTAGGTCACCCTGCACAAGTCAGCAGTGCAAAGCTTTTTCAGATAGCACCACCTTGGCCGTGCAAATTATTTAACCAAAAGACCTTAACCAAGGTAGCTAGCACCATATTTAATTTTAAACTGAAATTAAAACAAGGTTGTGAGAGGATTGCACTCTGCAAAGTAGCAAGATTTCCAAACAGAAGCGTGAGCATTATGGAAGTAAAACATGTCACAGACTTGTTGACTTTTAAATATCTGGGAAGAAGTACGGAGAGTTAATATAGTTTAAAAACTTGAGAGTGAAGGACAAACCTCAAGAATTGTCATTGTTATGAAATTATATTGAGAATATCAGATGAACTCTACGAAGAAAATATGTCACTATGATGATGTCATCCTGGTAGATTATATTATAGGCCAGTAAATGCACTGTGGGTTATACACTTGAATTCTTACTAATCTGACGAAGCCTGAATTATTCTTTAGTATATGCAGAAGAGTTTGTGAAGTGCGAGGTGGTTCGTGTGTAGACGTGTTTCATTTGAATCCATTCAGGGCTTTTAATTCACTTTTTGCTACATGGTGATCTTTACGTCAAGCTTTTATAGGAATTTATTACGCCGTAAGTTGACATGTAAACGTCCGTGTGGTTTGCGAGAGATGAAACGATGTTATTTGTGAATCTGTTTACACTTTAATTCACACAGTTACTCTCACGTTTGTGCGAACGTCCTTCGGGGACTCTGTGTGTAGTAAATCTAGCGATGTTTTAGGAGTGTTTTTGGTGCCACGTTAGCGCAATGATTATCTTCCAAATTAACTGATCGTTTTGCCAATGTAGGAGTTTATACTTTACCCAAATATTTACCTTTAGAGGTGAAAACTGAACTGATCGCAAAAAAGTACAGTGGTTTAAAATGGTTCTAGATGATGCCATCTAGATTTATCATGGTACTTCTCTAAATATACATGAAAGTGGTAGATATTTGTTACTATCTTATATATATCACCATCACTTTACTATTACCACAGTACTTAGGGAAGTTTTTTAACAATATTTGGGTAGGGCGTATATTCCTTTGACATATTTTTTGATCGATTTGTGCTGTAATGTGTGTAGGATAGATTGTGTCAGTTGTGCGTCAATGTGTTTAGATTCTGTAGGCATAGCGTTTGCCTGAGACAGTTACTCGTGCAATGAGTACAAGCAATTGAATGCACTTTATTGATTTTATTGACCTCTGTTTGTGTTTATATAATTTATTTATAACTTGATTTGAATGATTTTTGTCGCCCTGTTTGATTATTACAATGGGAGGTTGTATGTGGCCCTTTGTAACTAAGCTGCTTTGCATAAATCTTCCTCAAACTGTAGGATTTTTTGTACATTGACTTCTTATATCATTGTTTAGTTACAGTTTTTTTATGATTTCTCACCTCAGGCAATGGTATAAACTAATGCAATTTAAAAATAATAATAAAGTGCAGTAATAATAAAGAAGCTGATAACATGTTTTGCTTTGTGTTGTCTGTTCTGTGTGTGTTTGTTCAAATGAGAAAGGATTTGGAAGTAAAAAAGCACATCATTTTTTTTATGTTCAAAGCTGTTTTATACATATGTTTTGGCTCGGATTTGCCAACCAGGACAAATTAATGTTAAGCTACACTCACTGGCCACTTTATTAGGTATACCTGTCTAACTGCTTGTAACACAAATTTCTAATCAGCCAGTCGCTTGGCAGCAACTCAATGCATTTAGGCATGTAGGCATGATCAAGACGATCTGCTGCTGTTCAAATCAAGCATCAGAATGGGGAAGACAGCTGATTTAAGTGACTTTAAACTTGGCATGGTTGTTGGTGCCAGACGGGCTTGTCCGAGTATTTCAGAAACTGCTGATCTACTGGGATTTTCACTGGGATGGTCGGGTCAGAATTTGGCATAAACCACATCAAAGCAAGGACCCATCCTGCCTTGTATCAATGGTTCAGGCTGGTGGTGGTGGTGTAATGGTGTGGGGGAGATTTTCTTGGCACGCTTTGGGCTCATTAGTACCAATTGAGCATTGTGTCAACGCCACAGCCTACCTGAGTATTGTTGCTGACCATGTTCATCCCTTTATGACCACAGTGTACCCATCTTCTGATGGCTCTTTCCAGCAGGATAACATGCTATGTCAAAAAGCGAGAATCATCTCAGACTGGTTTTTTGAACAGGACAATAAGTTCACTGTACTCAAATGGCCTCCACAGTCACCAGATCCTCAATCCAATAGAGCACCTTTGAAATGTGGTGGAACGGAAGATTGGCTCATGATAGCCGCCAAATCTGCAGTAACTGCGTGATGTTATCATGTCGATATGAAGCAAAATCTCTGAGGAATATTTCCACTACCTTGTTGAATCTACGCCACGAAGGATTAAGGCAATTCTGAAGGCAAAAGGGGGTTCAATCTGGTACTAGTAAGGTGTACCTAATAAAGTGGCCAGTGAGTATCTATAAATTTAGTAGTTTGAATAAGATTTTAGTTTTATATATTTATAAAAATATATATTTATATTAAGTACGACCGTGCTTTTTTTTTAGTCTAATAGTGTATCACAGTAGGTAGCATGTAGTAGTAAATATTGTGAATAAACTATAATGAATACTGTAGTATACTTTAGTTTTTGCTATAGTAAACTGGTCTGATATGTGAATATACACTATATGATTGTAGAAAACATATTGTCAAATTTGTTCATATTACCACAGCGTCTAACTTATAGAAAAACCATAACTGATTAATTCAACAATTTTTACATTGGTATTTTTCAAAAACATTATATTATTTACTAAAATGTACTGATATACTTGTTTTTTGTGTGAGCAGTCCAAATTCTTACCGTTTTTCCGTTACCTCAAACGCGAAATGAAAGCCCAATGGTCATCGAAAACGTCAATTTGGGACGTTCCTAGTCCTGCCTTTCTTGCGTACTAACTCAACTGACCAATCAGAGAGCGTGTAAGAACCGCACAGCCAATCAGAGGAAAGATGCGAGTTTTGATGCCGCGTGAAGGAGGGGAGATCTGACGAGTGATCAGTCAGGCAGTGAAACCGAGTGGCGTCGTAATATGTTTGTATTTTGGAAAGTTTACCGCTGAAATACACCGATATACAATGGCGTGACAGTTGAACCGTCCTTTTAGGTAAGTATTGTATAACTTAATTAAAATATAATCGCCCACTGTCAGAAAGTGCCTTGTTTATTTGTGAACATGTAACTTCACAAGTTGTATGAACGTGATTTCCGCGTGACGGTAAGATAAAATGTTAACGTTAAAGTCACTAACACAGCTGAAATGTAGTGTACGATCTCTACATTTGGACAGGGTGTCTTATTTGTTTATTATTTTATCATATATGACTTAATACCACAGTATGATAATGTGCTACGGCTGTGTTGCTATATAAACACTAGTAAACACTACTCTCACTCCCCATGGTCAGGGTGTCGACGGGTTTTAAAAAGTCTTAAAATGTCTTAAATCTCTAAATCAGATTTTTAGGCATTAAAAGGTCTTAAATTTACTTAAATATTGTGTAGTAGGTCTTAGATCTTTTTTTAACAGGTCTTAATTTTCCTTTGTGAATATCTTCCCAATCTGGCCATTAACACCCATACAATCACCAATTAATCTCAATAAAATGTTAACTTTTTATTTTAAAATCAAAATTTTAACTCTGTTTACCAGAATGATTTGAGCAATTCCTTGCAAATGTCAACCTTGCCATGAAAAAAGAAAGTTTTCACCAAAATAGAGAAACCATTTATACATTTTTAGTGAAAGAAAGTATTTTACACTATAAAAATACTCATAAATGTGTCTGTCAGTGTTTCAAACTATTACATTTAATTGACCAAAAATCACACAAGTGGCTATTTCACAGCTGTCACATCCATAACGGAAAAGTGTCACATCTACGACACTTTTTCCTCATAAATGCAAAAATGTCAAATAAAATAAAATCAATCATTTTGGATCTATTTTGAGCCGATTCATACTATTGATTAGCATTGTTTCTTTTGGGTTGTGCAGTTTAATTTGTAGAATTAAATGATCAGTCACTGCATACTGTCAATTTGCAAACTTTTTTTTTTTGTCATATCCATAATGCATGCTTGTTTTCCTTATTTAAAATAAAAAAAATGTTTACAGATTAATATTTTTCTGGTCCCATAACTCTGTGGTTAGTTGTTTTGGAAAATATAAACAGATGTGTCAAAATGATGTTAACATAAACTTTCTATGTGAATTCATGTTTTGAGTTTTTACTGCAAATGTCACATCCATAACGCTGGAATTGCTCATTTATGTTTTCCTTATGATAACATTTTGTTTAAAAGTTCTCCATGTATTTACTGCTGAGGATTAGACATGGGACGTTAACCGTTTTCAAGGTATACTGCGATTTGGAAAAGTCAAGGTTTTAAAACTGCCAAAATTTTCTGTAATACTGTTCTTTAAGTATGTGTAAGATTATTTTATTTATTAATTTTGTTTTGTTTTTAGCACAACAGTATTTTCAGTAGAAAAGACATCCTAAGATTCAGTTTTAAATTGTAAAGAAATCAGAGTTTTAAAAAAAAAGAAGACCGCAGAAGTCATGTGAATTATGTAGCCTGACTTGTTTACTGTGCCAAAATATCATGAATCTTTCCAAAAATAGAATATCTTGTTTTCAAAGGGAAAAAAGTTTTTTTTTTTTACCCAGTTAGAGCAATAAGCACAATACTGTGATACCGTGATATTTTTATCTAAGGTTGTCATATCATCAGAATCTTGTACTGGCCCATGCGTACTGAGGATCTGACCTGGACAGACTGTTGTGCATACATTTAGTTTATCATAGTTTTTAAAACATTTGTCTTTTATGTTGAAAAAAAGTGTATGTTTACAACTAGAGCTTGCTTGTTTTGACACAATATTTAAAATATTTTGCGAAGAGATATCAAAAATAGTTTTTTATTGTTAAATTATAATTTTATTATTAAATGTCTTAATTTATAATAATTGTTTTGATAGGGCAAATAAAAATTTCCATCAGGGCCATTCAAAAAACTCCTTTGAGTTTAGCCTTGTATGAGTCTAAGGGTGCTTTCACAGCTACACTTTTGTTTCGGAACGTGTCTCGTTTGCCCAGTTAGCGCGGTTCGTTTGGCATATGTGAACAGGGCAATCGCGCTCTGTTCCGCGCCAAAGTAATCACTCCGAGATCGCTTGAATCAGGTGGTCTCGGCTCGATTGAAACGAACCCTGGAGCGGTTCGATTGCAGTGAGAAAGCGATCCGATCCGAGCGCGGTTATATCACAGTGTTTTATGGACATGTAATAGGCTTATGGCTATATGAAGAGAGAATTATGAGTATGGCGGGAAGTTTCGTGAGTCGCCGGAAGCCCGCAAACGAGTGATGATCTCCCGGTCATCTTGCGTCTCCCTCCCGGTCCTCAAATAGGCATCGTCGCGCACCCTTCACCCCTCCCCACTGCGTCTCTCCTCACAGACACGTCACGCGTGCACCCTGTCAATCACCACCAAACCACCACCTCTCCTGACAGCTGAGCGGGACGCTGCAAAATAAACCCTGACACTCTGACCAATGTAAGGAGAGTTTACTCACACGTGACTTGTTTTAGCTTTTTTGGTCCGATTAGAAACTTTGCAGTGTGAAAGCGAACCGCACCAAGAGCAAAGAGCAACAATGTAACAATTGTAATCTCTGTTTCGGAACAACTGAATCGATTCACAGGTGTGAAAGCACCCTAAAATTTAATTCATAATGGTCTTAAAAAGTCTTCCAGTTCAGTCAGTGGTCCAGAGTTCAGTGGCTAATCTGCAGGATTCAGCTGAGGTGACGTGACGGCGACCAGCGAGACCTAGCTGTCACTCAAGTGGCACTCAAGTGACGGATGAAAACGGATGAGTTATAAAAGAATGCACCCCCCTCACAGTTGTCATGAAGGGTAATATTAGCTGTATTAACCAAAATCTTTTTTTGTACCAGGCTGTAAACACCTTTTTTTCTGCTGTAAAGTTGGCCATTCTAATAGTGGGCTCAATTGAAATTTGCTCTATTTTGGAGCCAGGAGCGGCCAGGACTAGCGGAATTTCGGATGAATTGCAGTTTTAGTTACTTCCGTATTGGCTTCCTGAGGGAGAGCGGGAGGTTGCCGCTTGGTTTCAATACTATAGGAGTTATTAAATTAAAAGGGTGATCTCTTTAAAAATGCATGAAGATAATAAATGGATTATTCCATTATGATTAAACTCTATATTAAACTATAATCCCAACATGGCATATCCTGTGATGTGACTTTTGTGGGTGCACACATTGCGATATCGATGCTGAAACCCTGTATTTTGCAGCCTTAGCTTGAATATAGGTTAGTTGTCTTTACTTCTTTTCTGTCCTTGGACAAAAACCTTCTCTCACATTGTTAGTGCTTTTTAAGCATTATCAAAATCAATTTTACATGCATATAAAAACAAATTTAAACAAAATAGATTGTTGCGTGTTTTATGATAAGCTGTAATAAATTTAAACGTCATTGTTTTTCTTATAATTTAATGTGTAAATGTAGAGGTTACGTCATGAAAGTGTACTTAATAGTTCTGAAAAAGTCTTGGAAAAGTCATGGAATTTTAGTAGTAAAAATGTGTATGAACCCTTTAAATATATTTTTTACGCAAGTAAATAAATAAACAATGGTACGCTGAAAAAGGTGTTGATATGATTTTTCTTTTCTTTTTTTGTGGGCCTACATTTGAAGAGCTCAGATGCAAAAGCCGCTAAACGGCACTTCAAAAATGAGATAATGACATTGAGTGAATGATTTAGGCACTTAGTACACCATCAACAAATAGATTTGCTTTAAATCATCTAAATCAGGGGTTCTCAACTGGTTTGGCCATGGGACCCACATTTTCACATGGTCATCAGGCCGCGACCCAAATTTTTAGGAATTATGATTCATTTGTATTTAATTGTTAACATACACAACAAGTGACAGATAAATTATGAGAAAATCACCAAGACTTACAAATAAACAATATTTTACTGCTGTCATTTAACAAAATGTATCAAATTATAGAAATATTACAGAGTAAAAATGTCAAATACTGTAAACAGTGGTTAGTGTAAGGAAAAGTTCAGTTACTATTAACTAAACTGAACTGTTAATAAAACATTAACATTGATCTGGCTGAACTGAACAGAAACCAGCAAACTGAAGTAAAATTATTAAAACAATCATAACCATTTTATAATAATCAGCAGTTATTTGCTGTTCTGCTTTTGTGTGAACTTTTTTTTTCCATTTTATATGGTTCCTTTTACAGCATCGATGTTGTAATGTCATTAAAATACATTCAGTTAAATAAACTTTGGCATTCATTTAGTTGCTCAAGCGTAAAACGAGAAAAAAAGCCGTTTACTTGCATGCGCCCGTCAGAATCTGTGGGCTAGCGCAGAAGCTCCATTAAATATACTGGGGTAAAATAAATGCTCATATTATAAAGACATGACGGGGGGAAATGTAATTTAATGCAGTGCTTCTTGTACAATCTGAGACCCACTTTATATCGGATATCACTCAGCCAGTGGAGATCGCTGATTTTTTTTAAAGAAAACAGACCTTAAACGTGCCGGTTTTTGCATTGCAGTTCGCCAAAAGCGCTTAACCCAAATTAAAAGTCCCATTAGCATGCTTCGGCACGCCCATTTCAAAATAAAAGTCCGATATAAGCTAAATAAGTTAAATATTAAACTTTTGTTGTTTTTTTGATCACACACTCCGCGACCCACCGAAAATGTTCCCGCGACCCAAAAGACCCACCAGTTGAGAAACACTGATCTAAATCCCAGCGTCAGTGCATTCAGAAATAACAGTCTGTTGGCAAAAGCCGCTAAACGCCACTTGCCTTTGACAGCAAAAGCAGCTATATCCCGAGAACCAATCAGAAGACGCAAATCGAATCATATGTGTTCAATGTAGCAGTGCGCTGATACGCCGGCTTTTATAAGGAGACTTTTGTATTCCGCTTTCGATTTTGATTTTAAAAGACGGAGTTTGAGGAATTCAATGAGACTGTCCGTGAATGGCAAATGAAAACGTCCCTCATCTCAAAACTCTGCGTTATAAGAAAAAGAAAACACAATGTAGTGTGCAAGTGTAGCATGCATTCATGACGTTTTTTTTTTGCGCAGCAACACTACTTTGAATGAGTCTGATTTACTATACATTAAACGCCAACTCCATTTCACAAAAGACTGAGTTAAGATACCCTTCTTTTATCCCACGTGGATGCTATGAGGATAAACAAGACCAAGACGTTAAGTATGGTGGGAATGAATGAATGAATGACAGCTTCTAAAATTGTCTGAAAGGCATCCCCTTTTTGCCCAGTAGACCTACCTTGTGTTTTATTTGCTAATTTGAGATTACTTTTTTTTAGATAATTAATGTATAAAACTGTACATTATTTATAATACTTCATAATACCTATGCGTCTGATAAGCTTTTTATATTAATGGACAATGCACAGAAATTGAAGTTTCATAATGTTTTACACTACATTATTTGAATCTACCAAGCTTAGCTTACAATGTTTACATTGTTCTACTTGCATTAAGGGTGCTTTCACACCTACACTTTTGTTTCGAAACGTATCTCGTTTGCCCAGTTAGCGCGGTTCGATTGGCGTATGTGAACAGGGCAATCGCGCTCTGTTCTGCGCCAAAGTAATCGCTCCGAGATCGCTTGAATGAGGTGGTCTCGGCTCGATTGAAACGAACCCTGGAGCGGTTCGATTGCAGTGAGAAAGTGATGGATATGTAATAGGCATACGGCAATATGAAGAGAGAATTATGAGTAGGGCGGGAAGTTTCATGAGTCTCCGGATGCCCGCAAACGAGTGATGATCTCCCGGTAATCTTGAGTCTCTTTCCCGGTCCTCAAATAGGCATCGTCTCGCACCCTTCTCACCCCCCCTCACTGCATCTCTCCTCAGACACGTCGCGCGCGCGCACCCTGTCAATCACCACCAAACCACCACCTCTCCTGACAGCTTAGCGGGACGCTGCAAAATAAACCCTGACACTCTGACCAATGTAAGGAGAGTTTACTCGCACGTGACTTGTTTTAGCTCTTTTGGTCCGTTTAGAAACTTTGCAGTGTGAAAGAAAACCGCTCCAAGAGCAAAGAGCAACAATGTAACAATTGTAATCTGTTTCGGAACAACTGAATCGATTCACAGGTGTAAAAGCACCCTAAATCTAAATCCCAGATATCAGAAATGACACCAGATTGTTCAGATTTAATTAATGTCAGTTTTAATGTTATTGATTAATGCACTTGACAGATTTCATTCATTTTCCTTCTGCCTTTTCCCTGGTTTACCACAGCGGAATGAACCGCCACTTACTTGACAGATTTTTTTTTTTTTTTTAATTTTAGGTGTTTTTGGTTTAGTAAAATAATATCTAATTGCATTTTTATTGATTTTCAACTTGTCCCTTGTCTTGTCCCAATGGTGCATTTAGAGGTTTTTGCAAAAAAACCTGAGGGTGTCACGATCCTCCAAATCCTTGATTCGATTACATTTTCGATTCTAAAGGCACGATTCGATTTTCGATTATGAATAATTAATTAATTAATGACCAATTAATTATTTGTAGCCTACCGTTTAAACTACCTGACCTGCATGGTCTTTGTTTTACCCATAAACAAATCATACAGTAAATGAATAAAGGCAAGATACACACATAATTACCACCTGTCAATCACTTTTTTCTGCGGGACTCGTGAATAGGCAGTGATCTGTCTCGTTATAATGGCGTCGGTTAAAAAGACGCACAACCAACAGGAACCAGCCAACAGTATCTGAGGTGTACAAGTACAAGTACAAGTGAGTGAAAGATTGAAGCAGTCCTCTGCCTGCCTGGACCTGCTGTCTCGAGCGCATGGCTGTGAGTGCGTCTGTGTCTCTGTGGTCACGTGATGTGCATTTTCAGAGGTAGAGAGGAAGGAGGGCTGCTCAGAAATGCTACATGCCACTGTGGATGTCAAATCGTTGTCGTTCTAAAATGCCATTTAAAAACAAAGACAGTGTAAACAGGGCCTGAGTGTGTACTTTTCGGGAGCGGATTTGCAACGGGGGCGGGCGGAGGATCACGATACCGGTGTTGTCTATCGGACGAACCCTAATACGTACATAGCAGAGCTTGCAAAACTGTGTTTTTTTTTTTTGTCTACAACACGAACGTTGTCAACATAACTCACTGGAAATCCAAAATGCTTACACACCGGCGACTTCATTGAAAGAGGAGAGGGTTTAAGCTCTGTCGACGGGTCTCCTGCTTCTGCAGTTTAACAAGCACTTCAACAAGCATGTTTTTTTTCGCGCTTGACAAGCCAAGCTGACGTGACATGGGGGCGTGGCAGCATCGACAATTCTATTTTTTGATTCGATAATCGAGATTGAGCATAAATTTCGATCGATTTCGATTAAAAATCGAATTCGTGACACCCCTAAAAAAAAGCACAAGTAGATTCAGCCGGTTTTGACACAAAAGAGAATGTACTTTGTTAAAAACCAAAGAATTGTCTTACGACTACTCCAACTGATCTATCCTGGAGGCTTTATCTGCTGGACATTATTAGCTTGAAATGCACCACAGCCAAAATAAATGGTGCCAGTAAAAAAAACTGTACAATTTTGGTCAAATATGAGAGAGACCGTATCATTTGTTTCAATCCTGATTTTGTACTTATTACAATACTACTGTTTTTATTTTATTTTACACTTTTTGTTGGCTGGATTTGGGGCTTTGTTCAAAATCAAAATGTTCAATAAAAAAAAAAGAAGTGTCTAAAGTGACATTTTTTTAAACAAAAAAGGTATTTTATTTACTAGCTAATAACTATAAAAAGAAACTTCTGAACCTAATTATAGGAGCATGATGGATTTGGAGGGTTTTGCATCTGAACTCTTCATACACTTTTATACACATATACACTTATTTAACAACATACTTTACAGGCCAATTTGCACATAATAGCTGCACATATAACACTGTATACCTGTACATACACTTGTCAATTTATATGTTAGCATTCACTATTTACTTCTATTTTTCAATTTATTCATGATCTGTTTTTTGTCCCGTGTCTGTAATTCTGTTGCACTGTAGAAGCTTCTGTCACCAAAACAAATTCCTCTTATGTGTGAACACACCTTACAATAAAGCTCTTTCTGATTCTGATTCTACACATTAACAAGTGTCCTTTAGTCACACTTGTGTCACTGTTATGTATTTGTGTTTTTTGTGCTCTGTTTCTCTGTTTTTTTTTCCCTCTCTCTCTCTCGCTTTTGCTCTCTTCTCCCGTATCTGCTCTCATGTATTCTCAGGTTCCGTTCATTGGTCCATTCAGCTGTCAGTCATTCCTCCCCGGTTACGTCACTCTTACGTCACATCCAATAAGCAAAGACCACGCGTGTTAAAAGCGCGCGCCAGACCACTCGCCTTCCCTTGCTTGCATTTTTCTCTTTCGCTATTTTGTTGCTTGTTTGTATTTATCGCGTGCGTTTAGAAGTAACCCATCTAACTGTGTATTTTGTTGTTGCTTGTTTCTATGTGCATGTTATCTGTCCGTTATTCGTACATTGTTCTTAGTTTATCGTTGTTTACGAGGCTTGGACGAAGCGGACAGGTAAGAAGGTCACGTGACGTACATTTCGCAACACATAGGACTACTCTGCTGTCTAGTACACTAGGTTAGGGGCGAGCGCCACTCCTTGTACTTTTGTGGATAGATGGATAGAGTAGATAGTCAGGACTCGAAAGATCTTCGTGTGTTAATTATACTGTTTTTCACATAGTTAGTTAGCTAGATGCTTCTGGGAAGTTAGATTTAGTTTGGGTTTTGTTCTTTTCATTTCTTTAGCGCCGCCCGCGTCCCTTCTGCCAGCTCTCTTGTTTTTTCCCGTCTTCATCTGTTTCAGTGTTGTACATATTGTAAATAGTATATTTTTGCCTTTGCACTTTGGGATTGTAAATAAAAACACACATATTTTGGCATTACTTTGGTTGTCTTTCCACTCATTCACTGTTTATATAAATATATTTTAATTAAATAAATGTCAAACCCCACAACCCTGGACTAACATCAGGGGGTTTGTAACAGTCACATGATTCTCAGTGTTTCCCAGAGAAAGTGCTTTACTGAGCTGTGTGTATTTCCTCTGGTGGTTTATTCATTAATGCCCTTTACTTCGCTGTCCCACAGCTAGAGCTTTCACCTGGAGCTGAACCTTTCGCATCCCTCCTCTGATTGGACGGCTGGGGTTTAACTTCTCTGGATGTCATGGCAACAGTATCCCTCCTGTGATGGATGTGAGTGATGCGAGCGAGGAGTTTAATGGAGAGATGGAGTCCGCCGATGACCTCGCGTCCTTCGAGGTGGTGAATATGTCGAACCCAGGTCTGCTGGACTTCAGCGCAGATGTCCAGGGGTCGAAGGAGAAGACCAAACTCAAAAGCAAACTCATGTCAGCATGGCATAACGTCAGATATAGAGGTACTTGGTTATGTTGGGCTTTTTTTTATACTTTTATACTAGGGTTGTCGCGTTATCATTAATACATCTTACGATACTAAACCAGCTGAAGTATCACGATACCAAGTAGTATTGCGATACTTTAATTCTTCAAGTCAAATTATAAAGAAAATTGTCAGAAATACTATATATTTATGTTATAATAGGCCTACTTGAATGTAATTCATAATTCCCTTAAAGAGCCCATATTATTAGGGGTGTAACGATTTATCGTTGTACAATTTATTGCGATGCAAAAATGTCACAATATGCATCGTGGCGTTATGACGATTTGATTACGATATGACGTCCGTTTTCTCTTATTAGTTGAGCTGTTTGCACGTGAGCTACGTTCCACCTGCTGTCGCACGTGAGTTCAGATTGCAGCAGCAGTAATGTTAGCAGACCAAGATGAGTGGAGCTGAAATAGAGGATGGCCCATCCTCTCAAAATCAGACGTCTGGCAACATTTCGGTTGTACAGTCATTGCTTTAGACTCGTTCGCTTTTTGACGCGCATACTGGGTCAAACATCCTAAGTTTTAAAGTCTTCACAGTGATTTACATACTTTGCACAGCGACATGGAAACCTTCTAATGGTGTTGAAAGAGTCACATACTGTATTTATAAGGTACAATTCACCCTAAAATATCATCCTGTCTTCATATAATGATGTATTGGCGGACGCAAAATCACACATGATGTGAGCTGACCGTGAGCTGTTACTACAGAGGGCGGACTTTGATAGAGGCGCGCGTATGGCTAGCCGTTTTAGCATTTAAACTCTTGTTCTCACTATCCATAAATATATTTAATCAGATATCTCTAATTATATTTTGACTAGTCATAATTATAATTCAACTAGTCAGAATGACAATTAGAGATATCTGCAATTACAATTGTACTAGTACGAAATCAGATTGGAGATATCTGCAAATATATTATGACTAGTCATATTCCTCCATTGACTTCCATTGAAAAATATTTGCAGATATCTCAAATGAGTTTTGACTAGTCACAATTGTAATTAGAGATATCTCTTAATGAGTTTAATTAAATATGAATTAAATACCTGGAAATGTGGATTTTTTTTGCACACACAAAAAACGCAAGTGACCAAGCAACGCCTTAAACTCTTACTGTTAAGTTCAATTGAATAGAAAGCTTATTTTTTTTTGCACCTTTACTTAAATTGTTCCTTAATTTTGTCTCTGTCATTTCAATAATATTTTATAAAAAGTTTTTAAATTGTTTTATTTTCCAGAGACAGGCCTGTTTAATTTATTTTCTTAAAGAAGGTTCAGTTTAACAAGTTGAAACAAAAGAAATACATAAAAAATAATTTACTTGGTAAAATCTGCATTTCAGTTTAATTTTCAATTTTTTATTCCAAATATCGTGATACATATCGAATCGTGAACATTATACCGTGATACACATCGTATCGTGAGCTGAGTGTATCGTTACATCCCTACATATTATACATGAAATAGGGTCATATTTTGGCTGCAAGGGTCTCCAACAACAGTCTAATATGCATGCAAGGTCAAAAAACACTTTCATTGTCTTATAATCTGCATTTATTGTTACCTAATTATTCCAACGTCTCCCATATGTTTGTTCCCAAACCCCTCCTTAGCACAAAGCTAATCTGCGCTGATTAGACCGATGACAGCCTTGGTCGACACTGACAGTGTTCAGCGCGAGACAGAGTAAAATGTCCAGCAGCTAATCAACAATATAGAAATACTCTGAGTGCATACACGCTTCATATTAGTTACTAACACCAAAGTAAACAGTACACAGTTCTCACCAGTGTTATCAGGGCCGGCGCAAAACAAGGCTATCTCCTTGAATGTGACCGAATGTTTAATTCCTCCTGAGGACTTGAAACCCATCATGAATTCGTACATAAACGAAGAGAATGGGACAACTGCATCAGCAAAAAATTACATGAAATCAACCCGAAAATAAATGAAAGACATTTAGCTAATTATAATTTTGAAACAAGGCATGATCAGACGGTCTATACCAGATGTCGAATTGGACATTCTAGGTTGACGCATTCATATTTATTAAATAGCGAAGAATCACCTAAATGTAATTCCTGCCAGGCTGCTCTTACCATCAAACATATTTTGTTGGAATGCAGAAGTTTAAATTCCATTAGACAACATTTTTATAAGGAGAGTACTTTGATGGACATTTTTAAAAATGTACCACCTGGAGGAGTTTTACATTTTTTAATCAAAAATAGAGCTGAAAAATCACATAAAACTTTAAATAATTAAATAAATAAATAATTTCTATTTTATACATTTTTTCTAAGTAACTTTTTTAGTGTAATACGAATTTGTTTTTTTATCATGTAATATTTTAATGTATATCCATTTGGCCACAAAATAGCCATAAGTTGCTGATGTGGCAATAAATATGTAATAAATAATAATAAATCAGGGCCGGCGCATTCATAGAGATAGTAGGCAACGTCCACGAACCCCCTGGTCCTTACTTTCATCCGTGACACCCACCCCCTCCCAAGAAAACAACACAAGAAAAATGGCCTGAGAATTTTTTTATTTTATTAATATTATTATTATTATAACAGCTCAGGGATGAGCTTTTTTAAATAAAGGGTTGAAAATGAATGGTTTTCTTGCTTTTTTTAATATCCGATTAATTGATTAATCAAAAAAAATAATCAACAGATTATTTGATTACTAAAATAATTGTTAGTTGCAGCCCTACATTCAGTATTAATTCACACAGCGGCAAAAGCTGAACTATTTTGAAACTTGACTGCTGCAAGCGTGTAAGAACCGCTAACGATGGCCATAGCAATGACAATCGGCATTTATTTATGGCATAGAGTTAAATGTGTTTAGATGAAGACAAAACTACGAAAAATCAAATCATTGCGTTAAAATGACAGTTAATATTTATGTATTTTACGAACCTATTCACATATTTGCAATACTGAGAGCAGGAAAGAGACAGGAAGCACTGGTAAGCAGTATCTTTATAAAATTGTTTAATTAAAATAAATAACCAACAGATTAATATGCCTTGTCGTCTCTAAGTAAAGACATTATCTACACACTATATTAATTCCCAATTAGAAAAATACTACAAACTATAAAATACTATTAATGAAAATACTTAAAGAACTCACAAAATGCAACACTGCCTGTACTCCCATTAAACTACTTGTTAGCAACCGTCTTTTTAAGGAAGCGTAACTGATTAAAAAAAAACATTAAGAGTGTGCTGTAACTGATGTGTTATGTCGTAGAATAAAACGTGAAAGTATCCTGAGTTTGTGTTTGCCACGAACCGTATTTCAAGCGTTTTAGTGTAAAACGCATTCAAAAAGTTCATTGACTTTTGGACGAGGGAACCGAGGGAACCAGAACTGCTAAAATGCTAACTCGCTTCTGGGTTTTTGCATACAAATTGACGGCATAATTCCTCCACTCTATATCTAAAAAATCTTAAAATTAAGAAGGATTTTGTAGACAAGCAAAAAATTGTATCTTGTTTTCAGAAATAAGGAGTCAAAATAAATGGAGTTTTTCCAATAAAGCAAGCAATATAATCTGCCAATGGGGTAAGTGAAATCATTTTGTATTTGCTCTGAACTAAAATTATTTAGCTTTATCCCATTATCAAATTATTTAACTTGTTTTAAGGGAAAAACTCACTTAAATTTCTGGAAACACTTTTACATGCATTTTTTTAGACATCTTGATTTAATAATTTTTGTATATTTGGTCTAGAAACAAGACAAAGCTCTAAATAAGAAAAATGTTTTTTGTAGTGTAAACCCAGATTTTAAACATGGACACTACACACACACACACACACACGCACACATTTCCCACCTATGTTCACACTCTCACATCTGTGTTTCCCTCAGGCTGGTCTCTGAAGAGTAAACCGCGGCTCAGTAAGAGCAGTCCTGTGTGTCTGCTTGGACAGTCCTATCAGCTGAGCTCCACCGGTGAGCAGAACAACACACACATTTCTTTTTTTTTATGGCATGTTTATTTAAAGGATCAGGATGATTGTTCAATGTGCTTTCAGAACACAATCAAATAAAAGCTAAATTTAAAGATGTTGTGAAGCGGGTTATATCGTCCAAAAATGGACTACAAAATCACATTCATTAATAGGCCTAAATGCATCTATTACTAAGCTCATGCAATCAACAAAGAAAATGTAAATGAAAATGCTTTATTGTTGGCTGTCTTAGTCCTATCACTTTAAAAGAACAAATACTGTACCTCTCTCTATATTTAGGCTACTACATTTTTTATTTATTTATGTTTGTTTGTACATTCATTTTAGTTGTCTCTTAATTCTTTTTGTTTTGGTTTCCAAAACAAATCCTCGTTGTACTTAACAAGTTCCGAGTCCAAGCGCTCTACTTAACTATATGGGGAGACTCATGAAACGGTAATGATGAACGTGTACAAAGCGCTTTAATACGTTTGAAAATCACGATCGCAATATATATGTCCATGCCTGGTATCCGATGGCCAGAAAGTGATTCATTTTTTTTTTTATAAATTGTAAAACTTTGGTATTTGTGATGCAGCAATTTCCGAGAATGTAGTGTACATTATGACTTTGTTTAGAGTTCACTTTATTGTGTGATGCATCACCACTTAACAAGCAGATTTACAGTATATTTACTGTATATTTCGGTCCATTCGCATCCTTGTCCCTTTGTGCCCCCTGATGGCTGAGTTGCAAACTGCTGTTACACGTAAAACACATTTTACTGTTCTCTTTGTCCCGCTGTGGCATCACACGCAGCATTAGTGACAAAAGTCTTGTTGTCGATCTCAATTGTAAGAGGAACAAATAATAACTTCTAGTTAATAACTTGGAAAAGTGTCAAAGTTGAGTTTACTAGTCATACTAATCTTCACTAATACTGCAGAAAACCTACTGGAACCCATATGGACCCAAGATTCTCACAGAAATCAGTCAAGTTTGGTTAAGGAGAAGTCATGGTTTGGGGTTGCATTCAGTATGGGGGCGTGCGAGAGATCTGCATAACCAACAGCCTGAGGTATCAAGACATTCGTGCTGCCCATTACATTACAAACCACAGGAGAGGGCAAATTCTCCAGCAGGATAGCGCTCCTTCTCATACTTCAGCCTCCACATCAAAGCTCCTGAAAGCAAAGAAGGTCAAGGTGCTCCAGCATTGGCCAGCCCAGTCACCAGACATGAACATTATTGAGCATGTCTGGGGTAAGATGCAGGAGGCGTTGAAGATGAATTTAAAGGATCCTGATGAACTCGGGGAGTCCTGCAGGAACGCTTTCTTTGCCATTCCAGGCGACTTTATTAATGCGGGATTTGAGTCATGTCAGAGATGTATGGATGCAGTCCTCCAAGCTCATGATGGAGTCAGACACCATATTCGTTCTGTCTCCACTGCAGCAGGACTTTATATTCTATACTGGACATTATTTGTGTTCAGTCACAAGACTTTTGTCTACGTAAAGTCAGACCTTACTGTCCTAATGAAATCGTTAATAATCAAGGCATGATCAAATTGTATTGTGGTCAAGTAAGTGTAATCTAGAGGCCTTTGCCTTTCATATAAGCCACTTCTGACATCAAATGATCAACTAGAGCAGGGGTTCCCAAACTTTTCAGGCCGGGACCCCCAAAATGACAATGCCAGTGACTCGCGACCCCCAATATCCTCTGAGGTGGTTATAAATACAGAAACCTTGCATGCAATGGCACACACACACCAATGGACCCAAGTCTATTCTTCTTTTAATTTTTTTTATGTATGAGAGCTGTAAATGGGCTACAAAGTTTGACCAGGTGTTATGAAATCTGCTGCATCTGACGCTATTGCTGTGTCTTTAATACAATATTATTACCCCAGGGGTTGCAATCCAATAGAAGTAGTAACTATAAGCTACTATAGTAACTATATATGGTATAAACGACTATTTTTTTCTCTTCAGAAGGTTATGGATAAAATATGGTAATTCTTGTGGTTTAATAAAAATAAATAGATTTTTTGAAACCACCAGGCGACCCCCCCCCCCTTCATTGCTCCGCGACCCCTCGGGGGGTCCCAACCCCCACTTTGAGAACCATTGAGCTAGAGGACAAGTTATTATTTGTTCTTCCTAAAACCTGGATAGGTGACAACTTTTGTCAGGTAGTGTAACAAATAAATGATCGAATAATTCAACAAATAAAAAGCCTATAGAATATCATCTTACCCCTTTGAAATAATTAGTTGATTTGTCATACAGCCCGAAATCAAATCACATTCCAAATAACTTTTACAGCCTTTAAATTATTTCTTTTTGTCGCCGGCTCCTAACCTCTCCCTTTATACAACTTCATCCCGAATACCTTTTCTTTTTAAATAAAAGCAAGGTGTAATGCGAGTAAAGATATAGATTTCCACAGGGTATGATGATCTTTCTGTAGGCACTGTAAGTTAATAAATGCTATTTTGTATATCGACCGTATTGTGTGATGCTGAAGTGCGCTCATTTTCAAGATTAAGAACTTCTGCTTCAGTCGCCTATGGGAGAAATGGCTAGCAATAATAATCAGCAGATAACAGTCAAACTGCTTGCTCTACAGACAAGTGTGTTCATGACTATACAGAGAAAGTAGAATAACACCATAAGAAGATATCAGTCTGCTACATCAAGCAGCACAAACAGATGTTTGTAATGTCTAGTAATCAATGAAAGTCAATGAGACAAAATGTCTTGAGGCAAAAAGATTCCAATAGCAGCGCCCGCTCATACATCAAGATGAATAGGTAAAGAATTATATAAAAAAATTCTGAATAAATAAAAATAAGTGTGTTGATTTTGATTTGTGTGTGTTTGGTGTCAGGGGTGCGGGAGAGTTTTCGGCGAGTGTTCTCCTCTCTGCTGTGGATGAGCTATAGGAGAGGATTTCGGCCGCTGGACGGCTCCACGCTCTCGTCTGATGCAGGATGGGGCTGCATGCTTCGCAGCGCACAGATGCTGCTCGCCCAGGGGCTACTGCTGCACATCATGCCCAACGGTACACACACAAATGCACACATACAAACAAGGAAACTAAGGATGCACCAATCCTGATACTTGGATCGGATATCGGTTCGATACCGCATATTCTTGCTGTATCGGGTATCGGCCAGCTGGCAGTGATCCCAGTCCGATCTTGCATGCGCTATATAGAGTGGAGTAACTATGACGTCAATTTGTATGCAAAAACCCGGAAGCGAGTTAGCATTTTAGCACTTCCGGTCCCCTCGTCCCAAAGTCAATGGGTTTTTTGAATGGGGTTTCAGTAAAATCGCTTAAATAAGGTCTGTGGCTAACACAAATTCAAGATATTTTCACGTTTGTTCTACGACATAAAACACATCAGTTACAGCACACTCTTCAACTTTTAAATCGATTATGCTTCTTTAAAAAGACGGTTGCTATCAAGTTGCTAAATGGGACTACAGGCGGATTCGGAGACATTACACGTCATCGAGCTGATCTGGTCTGGAGCGCAGCTCGCTTGTGTTGGGCGTTTGGATTCGTCTGTTATTTAGGTATTTTCATGAATAGTATTTTATAGTTTTTTTGTGTTTTTCTAATTAAGAATTCAGATTGTGTATAGATAATGTCTTCACATGTAAAGGCTGTCGAGACAGATTCATTTGTTGATCATTTATTTTAATTAAACTATGAAGATACTGCTCACCAGTGCAGCCTGTCTCTCTCCTGCCCTCAGTAATGCAAACGTGTGAATAAATGTGTAAAAATACAGACATATTAACTGTCATTTTAACGTGATCAAGTGATTTTTCGTCTTTTTTTATTCATCTGAACACATTTTACTCAGTCATAACTGCAATATTTACACTCCTCCATTAAACGTATAGCAGATGTGACTGTATGAGCTGCTTTTCGCTGTACGTCGTGACATAAAAGGAATATTGAATGTTGCTCTGTTGGTTGATCTGATCATACGCAAAAAGACCCCAGACTATAGGGCTACATGTTTTCTTTCCCTTATTTCTTTATTTGTTTGGCGCATGTACTCATGTGCGATCAGAAAACTGCCCGCCTCTCCTTTCACTCCGCCCCGAAAAAGGCGGGCCGTTGGCCCCAAGAAAGCCCCGCTTTGGCCCGATTAGGCCCCGGAAGTGACAGTGGAAACCCCACTGGCCTTGGCTCGCCCTGGCTCGCTCGCTTTAGGCGCGATAGTGGCTATTCACACGGGGCTAACACTTTACAGAGGGCGTGTCTGAAGTTGGGGCTAACGCGATCATCATGGCAGCGTTAGCCAATTAAATTAGTCAGCAATCAGCTACTGTCTGAGCTGTTGTATTTGCATATTGTGATCTGATTGGCTGACGCTTCCGTTGCCGCTTAAAGTTGAGAAAGTCCCAACTTCTGCAGCGACAGCACCACTGAAGCGGCGCAGACGGATCCACAATTCAGTTCGGCAACGCCTGACATCACTCTTTCAAAGTGAATGTGAAGCGTAGAAGCTGATGCCCTGTGTGAATGAGAATATCAGGCTTTGCTAAAATGCTGGTTATTCTGCTAATGATTATGGTAGCCTATTATAGATTTCTAAGAAAAATCTTAATATTAAAAAGGAAACATAAGCTGGACCACAACAGATCAGATCAATGTCATTATGAATGCTCAAATAATGTAACCAATAGTTTATAGCAAGCATTGTGTTTTTAGTCAGATTGAGTCTGTGTCTATCTGTCATAAACAGTAGGCCTGAAGGTGTGTTATTTTTTTTTTACTAAAGAAGATAGATTGTTTGAGTTTATCACTAGAACTATAGAAACTGTAATATGTTAATAAAAAATAAACGGCACTCAGAATTTCGATATTGAGATCGGATATTCCAAAAAAAAAAAATGGTATCGGTGCATCCCTAGAGCAAACACAAATAGACGAACCAACACACACAAACACATGCATGCACATGCATACAGCCACATACAGTTAAAAGCCCCTTTCACACAGTGATTCCGGAAAATTTCCGGAACGACTTTACCGGTATATACAAAAAAGCGCTGTTCACACAGGCGAGGACGTCACGGAAATTTTCCGGAAAAGAACATTCACACATCCATTCCAAAATACCGGTAAATTCTGACATCATTCACCACAAATGAGCTTTAAACGGCTGCGCTTGTATTTGTAAACATTTGACTAAATTACAAACTCTTTTGATGATCAATATTGTAAACAACTTTCACAGGATCATATTCGCATGTCGAGATGTGCGTGTGCTGGCGCTCACAGGCTGTTTCATGGGCACACTCAAAGCTTGAAGGTAAACAAACAACGGCTTATCATAAGCATCTCATCGATGATTATTTACACAGTTGGCATTAAGAAGAACATATAAACGTGATCTGACTAACTTCTAGCAGCTAAATGTGTCTGGAAAAATATTCAAAGGCTTTTCTTCTCACAAACCGCGCGGACGTAAATGCGTCTGACTGTTGTGATTGGCTAAAGCAGAAGTCTTACGTCAGCACGTTCTAGACGTGCACGCGCTTATTCCGGAAATATTCCTTCTGCGTTCACACAGCGCAGCATTCCGGCAAATTGCCGGTAATGTTACAACTTCTCTTTCCGGAAAATAGCCAGAACGAATTTACCGGTATTTTCAAAAAGGACCTGTTCACACATACAACCTTTCCGGAAAATTGCCGGTAATTTTCCGGAAAGGTCTGTATGTGTGAAAGGGGCTAAAGTCTGAATTATTAGCCCCCCTGTTTATTTTTTCCCCAGTTTCTGTTTAACAGAGAGATTTTTTTTTCAGCACATTTCTAAACATAATAGATTTAATAACTCATTTCTAAGGGTGTCACGATCCTCCAAATCCTCGATTCGATTACATTTTCGATTCTAAAGGCACGATTAGATTTTCTATTATGAATAATTGATTAATTAATGACCAATTAATTATTTGTAGCCTACCGTTTAAACTACCTGATCTGCATGGTCTTTGTTTTACCCATAAACAAATCATACAGTAAATGAATAAAGGCAAGGTACACACATAATCACCACCTGTCAATCACTTTTTCTGCGGGACTCGTAAATAGGCAGTGATCTGTGTCGTTATAATGGCGTCGGTAAAAAAGATGCACAACCAGCAGGAACCAGCCAACAGTATCTGAGGTGTTCGCTAAAATGACCAAGTACAAGTGAGTGAAAGATTGAAGCAGTCCTCCAACTGCCTGGACCTGCTCTCTCGAGCGCATGGCTGTGTGTGCGTCTGTGTCTGTGTGGTCACGTGATGTGCATTTTCAGAGGTAGTGAGGAAGGAGGGCTGCTCAGAAATGCTACACGCCACTGTGGATGTCAAATCGTTGTCGTTCTAAAATGCCATTTAAAAACAAAGACAGTGTAAACGGGGCCTGAGTGTGTACTTTTCGCGAGCGGATTTGCAACGGGGGCGGGCGGAGGATCGCGATGCCGGTGTTGTCTATCGGACGAACCGTACATAGCAGTGCTTGCAAAACTGTTTTTTTTTTTTGTCGACAACATGAACGTTGTCAACATAACTCACTGGAAATCCAAAATGCTTCCACACCGGCGACTTCATTGAAGGAGGAGAGGGTTTAAGCTCTGCCGACAGGTCTCCTGCTTCTGCAGTTTGACAAGCACTTCAACAAGCCTGTTTTTTTCCCACTTGGCAAGCCAAGCTGACGTGACATGGGGGCGTGGCAGCATCGACGATTCTATTTTTTGATTCGATAATCGAAATTGAGCATAAATTTCGATTAAAAATCTATTAAAAATCGAAATCGTGACACCCCTACTCATTTCTAATAGCTGATTTATTTGTTCTTTTCCATGATGACAGTACAGAATAGTAGACTAGATATTCAAGACACTTCTATACAGCTTAAAGTGACATTTAAAGGCTTAACTAGGTTAATTAGGGTAACTAGGCAGGTTAGGGTAATTAGGCAAGTTATTGTATAATGATAGTTTGTTCTGTAGACTATCGATATAGCTTTAAAGGGGCTAATAATTTTGGTGTTTAAAAAATTAAAAACTTCTTTTCTTCTAGCCATAATAAAACAAATAAGGCTTTCTCCAGAAGATAAAAATATTATCAGACATACTGTGAAAATTTCCTGAATCTGTTAAACATCACTTTAAAAATATTTAAAAAAAGAAAACAAAAATTAAAGGGGGCTAATAATTCTGACTTCAACTGTACATGAACACAAACACACAAACATACACTAAAAACAAACAAATCCACACACACCCGAATACATGCACAAACAAACACACAAAGACGTACAGACACGAGTGAAGTGAAAGTAAAAGGCATGTGTGCTTGGAGGGGGACATCTACTCTCCTTCTTGTGGCTATTAAAGGAATTGCAACTGTTGTCATCTGAAACATCTACGGTTGTATTAAATAACTGCAAGTAGACGATTATTTCATAATTGCGACAGGCCTAAGTAATACCTCTTTATCTACTTTAAAAAAAATACTTGTAGTTTCCTTCATTTGTATTTTGTCTCTTCAGGCTGGACGTGGCCTGCGACGCATAATCAGACCAAAGATGACCTGGAGGTGCTGGACGCTCACGGTTCCCTCAGACACTCGGGAAAGTCTCGCAGATGCAGTTTAGGCTCTGCGTTAGACGGTGAGAGTCACGAGGAGCGGTCGCACCGGAGGATCGTCTCTTGGTTTGGGGATCTGCCATCTGCTCCGTTTGGCCTGCATCGGCTGGTGGAGCTAGGCAGGGCTTTTGGGAAACGGGCGGGTGACTGGTACGGACCCGCCATCGCTGCTCACATACTGCAGTGAGTGATCAGCCGATTGTTTTTTTTTTTTTTTGAGTAGAAGTCATGAGGGAATAAATAGGAAATGTGTGGCTTAAGCATGGGCAGGTTTAAGATTCTGACGGTACGATAACAGTTGATAAAAAATCACGGTTTCACCGTATTGTGATGTTGTTTTTAAATGAGTGGGTTAAAAACAACACATTTTTCCCCTTTGAACGCAATATATTTTATAGGGGTGTAACGATTTATCGTTGTACGATGTATTGCGATGCAAAAATGTCACAATATGCATCGTGGCGTTATGACGATTTGATTACGATATGACGTCCGTTTTCTCTTATTAGTTGAGCTGTTTGCACGTGAGCTACGTTCCACCTGCTGTCGCACGTGAGTTCAGATTGCAGCAGCAGTAATGTTAGCAGACCAAGATGAGTGGAGCTGAAATAGAGGATGGCCCATCCTCTCAAAATCAGACGTCTGGCAACATTTCGGTTGTACAGTCATTGCTTTAGACTCGTCCGCTTTTTGACACGCATACTGGGTCAAACATCCTAAGTTTTAAAGTCTTCACAGTGATTTACATACTTTGCACAGCGACATGGATACCTCCTAATGGTGTTGAAAGAGTCACATACTGTATTTATAAGGTACAATTCACCCTAAAATATCATTCAGTCTTCATATAATGATGTATTGGCGGACGCAAAATCACACATGACGTGAGCTGACCGTGAGCTGTTACTACAGAGGGCGGACTATGATAGACGCGCGCATGCGTCCGCTTCAGTGAACAGAACCTGCAGGTTGTGACTAACAGGTAATAAAGTAGTGAACAACATTCAGTTTGTGGAACAGTGATCGTTTAAAAGCCGCGTGGGAAGTATGAACAGCAGTGGAAATGAAACCGAAAGCGTGCACATTATTTAAATAATCATATCGCATTTTAGAGTTATGATTACGACGAGCATGAACTCTTTTGAGTACAGAGGTACACAAAAATGCACGTCAACATGATACACTTGATAGCGCCGACATCAGCGACGCCGAAGAAATAGTAAACCTGCCTAAACTGCTGAAAAGAGTCACGACCGTCCTGTGTAATGAAAAGACGGCCACCCTGTCACTCATCATGCCCAACATGAAGACAGCCATCCATAAAAACCTCTCAGACAGACACACATCAGTTCAGGATTATCTTATAGAACTGCTGATTACCTGGAAATGTAGATTGCACACGCAAAAAACGCAAGTGACCAAGCAAAGCCTTAAGCTCTTACCGTTAAATTCAATTGAATAAAAAGCCTATTTTTTTGCACCTTTACTTAAATTGTTCCTTAATTTTGTCTCTGTCATTTCAATATTATTTTATAAGAAGTTTTTAAATTGTTTTATTTTCCAGAGACAGGCCTGTTTAATTTATTTACTTAAAGAAGGTTCAGTTTAACAAGTTGAAACAAAAGAAATACATAAAAAATAGTTTACTTGGCAATTAATTAAAAAAAAAAATAAAATTAGCATTTCAGTTTAATTTTCAATTTTTATTCCAAATATCGTGATACATATAGAATCGTGAACATTATATCGTGATACACATTGTATCGTGAGCTGAGTGTATCGTTACACCCCTAATATTTTATATTGAAATATTTAAAGGTGCTCTATGTAAGTGCCACCCTGTGGTTGTACTAGGTATTGCACTCCTGGTTCAAAATGGGCAGCTTGCCAGATTGATGGCATCAACAGGAGCTTGCCTGACTATCAATCCAAAAGGCTGATTTAAAGGTGATTTGAATCATGTTCTGACTAAAAGCAGTGGCATGCAACGGAAGGATTACTTTCCATATTAAAAGGAGGTTTTGTCCTAACCAACACCGGAAATTAATATTTTTAGAAACGGCTTCTGTTTCTTGCAGCTGAACAACAGAAAACTATGATCAGCTCAGGTACAGCTCATGTGCTGTATTCAGTGTTAAATGCTAATAATGTAGGTTTGAATGACATTTCCATCCACATTTATTACCATACTACTGAAAGCAGCAGCAGATAGTTCACCTCAGATCTAGAAAATAAAATAAACCGCCTGAAATTGAACCTAAGAACTGTGATTCAGTGCAAACCAACACATATCAGTGATTCAGCATCTACATTTAATAATGTTAAAGAGGTTTATTATGTTTTAATTAGATTATAAACCATACCATTTCGCTGGAGTGCAGTGAGTGCACTATTCTGTGCTTCTGAATGGCAGCCAGATTGTAAATCAATGCAAATCTCGTCACGAAACGTGCTGTTAGGACATGGGTTTACAATGTAACCTGCTCACCTAATGTTTACGCTCGTAATATTTATAATATTTGCTTATTAATAGCCACCTCATGTGGAACTCTGAGCCTGCGTCTCTTTTCAGTGCTGCTACTGTCCACCAGAGGGCGCATTTCAGTCACGGACGCATACTTTGAGAGCCTTCATGTGACGCCTGCTGCGATGTCATTCGTCTGCCGTGTCTGTCTGTGTTGCTCCCTCTACAGATGCGCTGTAACATTGCGGGGCATAATCAGGTGGATGGGGAACACCTGAGTCTAATGCTGCGTTCACACCAAATGCGGCACGCGCGTCAAGCGCGAGTGATTTACATGTTAAGTCAATGCAAACGCGCGAATAGACATCCTGCGGCGCGATACGCGCAAATGGCGCGGCGCAAATGACGAGAATTGCGCGGTGCGCATGGCGCGAATGGCGTGGCGTGAATTGAGCGTTTTGCGCGTTTGACGCGCTTAATGCGCATTTCGCACGAATCACTCGCGTTTGAAAATCAGAACTTCAGCAGACATTCGCGCTGCTTTAACCAATCAGGAGCTTGCTCTTGTGGGGGCTTGATTGTGACGTATCGCCTGTTGTCGGTGTCCCAGGTGAAATCCCCCAGCAGACACCGACAAGAAGTTCATCAAACTGGGCTGGGCTCAGTCAGAAGCACCGCTGAAAACCTCCATCAGCCAGGTTCAGTTTCTGGAGTAGTCTATGAGCATAAAGACCTGGATGCACCTCTGAAAGGATGTAGTGGACTCAGACACAGCTCTAAACGTATCGACGCTGTTTATCATCCTTTGTAAAGCACATAAAAACTGTTATTTTCTTCATAAAATCCATGTTAGCCCTTTAGCTATGAAGCTAGAGTCACGGGGCAGACAGAAGCCCAGCCCATCACACGAATCCACGTCTGTTCTGAAGTGAATTTGACACGCGATTGAAGCGAGTAACCTCAAATGTTCACGCGACTATTTACGCACGAATAGTGCGATTTATCCGCGCGTTCCGCGTCTGGTGTGAACAGCATAAGTGTGCGCTCTTTTATCAGCGTCCTGCCACTGTTTGGGTGAGACTCTTCCAGCTAAGGGTTGGACGGAGACCAGCGGCGTGCAATTTGTCGGGGCGTTTTGCCTAATGTTTGGTCACAGTAGGCTTAAAATAAACTTCTGAAAACGTGACTTTTGGCTTCCCCCTCTTTTTTTTTCTTGTTTTGCCTCGAGGGCGTAACACTTCATGACTGAATAAGTGAAATGCGCAAGCCGGCTTCCTGAAATATATTTGGCTAAAGTGGTATTGGCTGAGTTAAATCACCAAAACAAAGACAGCTGTTTCAGGAAAACTTCCGTGCTCTGTTGAACATCATTTGGGAAATATTAAAATATAAAAATTAAAAATGGGGCTAATAATTCTGACTTCACCTGTAAATAATTAATATCATAAATTGTATTATATTATATACAATTTCTCTTTACTAGCTGGGCTTCCAGCTAACTCTATCAAGCCTCTTCAACTGCTCCAGAACGCAGCAGCACGAGTGGTCTTCAATGAACCTAAACGAGCACATGTCACTCCGCTGCTAGTCCGTTTGCACTGGCTGCCAGTTGCTGCTCGCATCAAATTCAAAGCTCTGATGTTTGCCTACAAAGTGACTTCTGGCTTTGCTCCTTCTTATCTGCTCTCGCTTCTGCAGATCTATGTGCCCTCCAGAAACTTGCGTTCTGTGAATGAACGTCGCCTCGTGGTTCCATCCCAAAGAGGGAAGAAATCACTTTCGCGAACGCTCACGCTCAATCTGCCCAGTTGGTGGAATGAACTCCCTAACTGCATCAGAACAGCAGAGTCACTCACTATTTTCAAGAAACGACTAAAAACTCAACTATTTAGTCTCCACTACACTTCCTAATCTGCAATTGCCTCTCTGAATATCATACTAACTGTACCCAAAAAAAAAAAATACTAATACTACTAATACTTCCCTTCTTAGACTTTACAGACCTGAAACTTGCCTATAGCACTTATTCATTGTTGCTCTTGGTTGTGTAAATTGCTTCCTTGTCCTCATTTGTAAGTCGCTTTGGATAAAAGCGTCTGCTAAATGACTAAATGTAAATGTAAAATATAAATGAGTTGGCAGTACCTGACGGTTGTTGGTGTGTGTGTATTTTCAGGAAGGCCGTGTCGGCGTCAGAGTTGTCTGATCTGGTGGTGTACGTGGCTCAGGACTGCACAGGTCAGTCTAATTTGATCCAAAAACATATTTGCTGATCATTTAGCCTCATTCTGTTATTTACCGCAGTAAATCTCTGTGTGTAGTGTACACTGGAGACGTCTTAAACCTGTGCAGGACCTCCCGCACAGATGCGTCATGGAGGAGCACGTCTGGCTGGAAGTCACTGGTTCTGCTGGTTCCAGTGCGTTTGGGCTCCGATGGGTTGAATCCTGTTTATACTGGGTGTGTAAAGGTGAGTTCAGACACACACACACACACGCGCACACACAGCTGAAATGAAGATGTTGTGATGTGTTGTGTGTCTGCAGAGGCTGCTGGAGCTGCGCTGCTGTTTGGGAATCATCGGAGGAAAACCCAAACACTCACTCTACTTTTTGGGATTCCAGAGTGAGTCACGGGACATTTGTGTGTGTTTGTCTGTGTGTGTTTGTCTGTGTTTGCCTGTGTGTGTGTGTGTGTGTGTGTGTGTGTGTGTGTGTGTGTGTGTGTGCGCGCTTATTTGTTTGTATTTGTGGATGTATGGATGTGTGAGTGTGTACAGTATGTGAGTGAGTGTCTATGTTGTGTGTTTTGAGTGTGTGTGTCATAGTGAGTGATTGTGTTTGAGTGCGTGTTTATGGATGTGTGTGTGTGTGTTAGTGAGAGTGCTTGTGTGTGTTGCTCATCATCTTTGTGTGAGAGTCTGTCACTCAATCTGTGTGTGTTCCTTACAATACATGTGTATGCTGCTTTGTGTGTGTGTGTGTGTGTATGACTCATTCTCTGTGTGTGATGCAGATGATCAGCTGATCTATTTGGATCCTCATTACTGTCAGTCTGCTGTGGACGTCCAGCAGGATCACTTCCCTTTAGAGGTGAGTGAATGCTTCGTGCCAGCAGCTAACTCTCTGCAACCCACATGGTCGCCTACTGAAGCTAAGGCCAGCAGGGGGCGCTCAGCCTGCGGACTATGGGGGTCCTTACACCCCAGTATAGTCATGGAGAGACTATACTAGAGATCTGCACTGGACTGAAATTTCAGTGTCGCTCCCGCCAGGTTTTATACCGCATCCGACCGCTCCTGCTGTATATTCAGCCTTTGTTCACCCGCTGACCGACCCGCCCCATTTTCTACCTGACCCAACCGTTCCCGCTAAATTTAAATCTGGTTTCCAAAAAATCATGTTTAAATCAGGCACTACCAAAAGAGAGAGATAACAGATAAAAGTGTATGGTTGTGCAAGGATTGTAGGCTAAATGTCAGCTTTGTTCACCTCTTTGTGATGAGGATACTCCAAAGTCAGATTTTTATTTGCACTCAAAATATTTGCCAACCACTGATTGTGTTTGATATATCATATCAGCATTATTTTTTACACATGTAGCAGGTACATATTGGGCCACGGAATAATGTATAGCGATTAAATAGGCCTTTACATGCTCCCTCTGAGCCAAATAATGAGAAAGAACCAAATCTCCTACCACAGCTATGCTGATGACACTCAGATCTACCTAGCCTTACTGCCTAATGACTACAGCCCCATTGACACCCTCTGCCAATGCATTGATGAAATTAACAATTGGATGTGCCAAAACTTTCTTCAGTTAAACAAAGAGAAAACTGAAATGATTGTGTTTGGAAACAGAGATGAGGTTCTCAAGGTAAATGCGTACCTTGGCACTAAAGGTCAAACGACAAAAAATAAGGTCAAGAATCTTGGTGTGACTCTGGAGTCAGATCTGAGTTTCAACAGTCATGTCAAAGCAGTCAGTAAATCAGCATACTATCATCTCAAAAACATTGCAAGAATCAGATGCTTTGTTTCTAGTGAAGATTTAGAGAAACTTGTTCATGCTTTTATCAGCAGCAGGGTGGATTACTGTAATGGACTCCTCACTGGTCTTCCTAAAAAGACAGTCAGACAGTTGCAGCTCATCCAGAACGCTGCAGCCAGAATTCTGACCAGAACCAGAAAATCAGAGCACATCACACCTGTCCTCAGGTCTTTACACTGGCTGCCAGTTACATTCAGAATAGAGTTTAAAGTATTATTACTGGTCTATAAATCAATAAATGGCCTAGGACCTAAATACATTACAGATATGCTCACTGAATACAAACCTAACAGATCACTCAGATCATTAGGATCATATAAACTAATAGTTCCAAGAGTTCAGTCAAAGCAGGGTGAATCGGCTTTTAGCCACTATGTCCCTCGCTGCTGGAATCAGCTTCCAGAAATGATCAGATGTGCTCCAACATTAGGCACATTCAAATCAAGACTGAAAACACATCTGTTTAGCTGTGCCTTTACTGTATGAGCACTGTGCTGCGTCCGACAGATTATGCTATTGTCTTTCTTTTCTTCATTCTTTTATATCACATTTTACCTGTTTTTATGTTTTGTTTTGTTTTTACGCATTTTTATTATTTGTTTTTATTTTTATTTTACTTGTTTCTTTTATTCTTGTTTATGTAAAGCACTTTGAATTGCCATTGTGTATGAAATGTGCTATATAAATAAACTTGCCTTGCCTTGCCTCCCAAAAACACCCAGATGGATGTTATGACCCATTTCCACTGAGTGGTACGGTACGTTTTTTTTGGCATCCTTTTGAAAGGGTACCCGCCCGCTCCCATTCAAATTACAAGCTCCCGACCGCTACTGCGTTTTATTCAGAAATGTATTCCCGTGCCGCAAGAAAACTGGTCAGGTCCTGCAGCTGACCTCTACTCCTATACTGCTCAGTGAATGCTGTGTGTCCGATGAGATGTTAAAGGGCCATGAAGCCCCCTCGTTTCAGCAGGGTGTTTTTACACCTCTACTTTGAAAAAAGTCAGAAAAGTGGGCGTGTCCAGCTCTGTTTAGGGGGGAGTGTCGGAGGAAGAAAAGTGGGAGGGTGTGGGAGTGTCTATTTGGGCACGCGCAAGTTTCAGAGTCAAAATACACACACAAACACACAGGAGAAAGTGTTGGTGTTTAACCTACATGGACCTCTGTAGTCGAATTATTTGCCAAATTATTAAATGGTGAACTTTAACTGCAGTTTGGCTCTTTCATTCAGGGAATTCATTCATGCCCCTCGCGACAAACGAGATATTTGATTCGAGGAACTGCTGTAAGCGTGTATTTTTCATGCAATGTTTTATACCGCACGGCGAATGAGAGAAAAAAACCTCCGCATTTCCCGGAAACTTAGATGCACACGGCAGGTAGCATCAGAAAGCCGCGTGTGTTATTCCGGTCACTAAATGCGGTGAAAATCCTACACGAGGTTAAAGTTTGGTTGTGGTGCTAACATGTTTGCACTCGGTGCAATAGTTAACTTAGTTCGATACGAACAATCTGAATAAACAAAGAGCACTGGTCGCTCACTTACCAAATCTGTAGAGACAGGACAATCACCAGCAACTAGAGCCGCGTCTTTATTAAGAGGAGACTACAAGCGAATCCGGATCTCAGCGTTTGCAGATGAGAACAGCTCTCAGGTAAACAATAATCCTCCTTAGACACGTAAGTTATTTTTGCAGCGCATCGCGTACACTGTTAATCCACACGTGACTCTGAGCTCTCACAGAGAGAAAATGAAAACGAAACTTAACTGTAGCAAACTATAAAAGCAACACTTCACGCTTGTTTTGCCAACACAACGTGCGTCTGACAGTAATGAATATTAATGAAGTTGCACAATAGAGCGCGCTAATTGGTTTGAACCAAGCCTTACTCATGCATTAATGCATCACACTGTAAGACGTAATAAGACTCACTCTGGCACAGACGCCCAGTCTGCACGCTGGAATACACACTATTATGTCATGACCGTGACGCAACTTCAAAAATTCGTTTCAAACCGGAAGTACGAATTTGCTTGAAATAACGCAAAAACAACCAATTTACACTTTTTAGTAAAATATAGGTGTCCTAATAGTGTTTTTAGCAGTGTGGGACACGTATACGACTGTCAACAGCTCAAAAAATGTGTTTTGGTGTTTCGTGACCCTTTAAACCGCGGTCCCGACTCTGTGGTCGTTAAAAATCCCAGGATGTCCTAAAAAAAAAAAGTAGGGGTTTAACTAGGGCTTGGCGATTTGGCAAAAAAAAAAATCTAGGTTTTTTATAAAGTTTGACTGATTCACGATTTCGATTTTATTTAAATTTTTTTTATTATTATTTTTTTATTGTGTAACTAGTCAACTTAAAACATTACAACAACATGACTGAAGTAACAATCTCTTCATAAGTAACTTGAAAAACCATCTGGTTAAGGAACATTGTATGTTTAATGGCCATGCCGTACATAAATTGGTCAAGATGTAAATAAATGTAAAACAAATTCACCAGTTAAATAGCGTTGCTGAAAATTTGAATAAGAAATATGTGTGTGTAAATATTGCAGTTGCAGGAATACAGAGGTATTTTTTGCAAGTTTTGCTTAGTCTAGGAAAGATTGTCTGTCAGCTCGGCTTTGGCTTTGTCTTCTTCTGATTGAATGACAGGTTGTAAAGCTGCTGCCTTTGTCTTAAAAAGATACAGTGGAAGGACTGAACATGGAAACTGTAAAGCCTAATTTAACCCAATGCGTGAAGTTGTGGACGTATAGCAGGAGCAAATACAAGCACCAGATGTGTGTCTAATATAAAATAATATATTGAATCTATTTTTCTTTTTCCCCCTTTTAAATATCGATCATTTTATGCGCTTTGCTCCACTCTCTGTATTATGCTGCCTGATCTGTCTGGTTTTTAACTAGGTCTGCTAAATGACGTCATGGGGCGGGTACTTTCATTTTCACTGCTACAGCTGCTCACCTCTCCTCGTGTTCAAACCAAAAGATCAGCGCGGTTCGAACTAAGATCGGCGTGGTTTTTCACATGGCAGGTTTTTACGTCCTTCATACAAGTTGAGATCGAGTTTATGGACTTGATGAGGGAATATGTCTTGACAATCCACACAGACGTGACTCAGAATAATGCAACAAGTAAAATCCTACATGACTTCACGCTTTAACAGACAGTCAAGCAGGTCGCACACCAGAAGCGCCGCGACACGGCGCGCACATGACAGTTTAAACTATCACACACCAGACGCACACGTTTGCGTGATATTTAACATGAAACTAATCAGATGGCTCTCTGTGGTGCGGCTGAAATATGAACTGCGTCCTGAATTGTCCTGGTGCAATATGGCTGCCTTTTCGTCATCCAGGTGGATGCTGCACACTGGTCGTGGATGAGGAGATTCCCCCCCAAAAATGTATAAAGCACTTTGAGTGTCCAAAAAAGCACTATATAAATGTTAGGAATTATTATTATTAATATTGTTATTATTAAGTGGCTCAAAATTAGCTTCAACTCAAAGAAGAAATTAATTTAGTTTGACTTAATAGACTTTGATAACTAAATCAAAATCTGAAATTAAAATGTTGCTTTTTACAATCTTGACTTTAATTTTTCTGTGATTTTGTGAAATGAATACAGTTTTAGAAGATGAGTTTTAATTACAAAATTAAAATTCTTATTAAAATAAGTTTAAAATTCATCTCGCCACGGCTACATTACAGCTTCTCATTCAAAACATTTAATTTTTTTAATAGCGGATTATAATCGCGCCAAAACATATTAAAACGTAAGTGGATTATAACAGTGCAAACTGTTCTGTATCTGCAGTAGTGCTGTTCGTTATTTGTTTACCCTTTAAGGTGACGTGCTGACTGACTGACAGACAGAGACTAGCAAACATGACGTTTAGCCGTTTCACTTTACTCCAGGACGCATTAATATCGCTCTGTAGGTCTGTTGGAGACATAAACATTACTAGCAAATCTAATAAATGTTAGAGACTTACTCTTTACATAAACGC